TGGTTGGAACCTGGATGTGGGTAGTTAGGGTTATGAGCGTTCAAATCTGAATTGGTCACTTGTACAAAATACAATGTTCTGTCAAAATGAAATACTTGAATGTGTATTTGGTGGTGGTTGGAACCTGGATGTGGGTAGTTAGGGTTACGAGCGTTCAAATCTGAATTGGTTACATGTACAAAATACAATGTTCGGTCAAAATGAAATAAAGTGTATTTGGTGGTGGTCGAAACCTGGATGTGGGTAGTTAGGGTTAGGAGCGTTGAAACCTGATACTGTAGTGACCTGTGTACAGAATCCGATTTAGCGTGGGAAGACAGAGCAGAAACAATTAGTGGGATTCGCCAATGCGGTAACCCGGAGTTCAGAATCCGAAATTTATGTATTCCATCGAAGCAGAGAATGGGGAAACGCGGCATCATTGAATTTCGAAAGCTTTCATGATCGTACGCTCTAGACGGTATATTCGGTACCATGCAATCATCGATCGTTATACTCGTCTAGTGAGTGACGGTGCGAGGAGTGAACCAGAACAGATTGCCAATATTCACAGTGAGTTAGCCTACTCAACAGTCTACAACCACTATCTTTGGCCCTGCAATCACAATCATAACCCCCTGTATGCGCATACCTGATTATGGAAATGGACTCGACTCATCCTGTTCAACCCATAGCAACGGAGCTGGAAATTGTGGGGAGACAATACTCAGGCAACCTCAAAATCTTATATGAGAATGGCCTACCAGAGTCGCCGAATTTTGATGGCTCTCCATTTCAACTAAAAACAGAAACGACAGCTATCAATACCGAAAAAATAAGGCAAGATTGTCTCTTTCATCGAAGAGTTTCCACATCGTTCTCGGGAGTAGTGCGTGTAGGTTTTTGTCTTCAATTAATATGAGTAGCCTTCTGTAAGAAGTTCTCTCATTCTGGCAAGTAGTTACTAGAAGTCTTGGTCTCTAATCTGTTTAACCCTCTTTAAGAGATTATCCCTTGATGGTAAGTAGTTAGTGAAGGTTTTTGTTCTTAATCTATGTAACCCTCCTTGAGAGATTCTTTAATGCAGGAAAGGAATTAATCATGTTTTTTTTCTTTAATTTAATATATATAATTGACGAAATAATTTGCAGCAATAGAGTCTTTTAGCTGACGACTACAATAGTTCTTAACACTAAAGTGAAATACCCAAGACTTTGTAAATTTATTATGTATATCATATCTCATTTTTTGAATATCGTACTTAAAAATACACTGTTAAATATTTAGAATGCCAATACTTAGAATTTTCTTATGTGAGTGTCCTTCATACTATGCAGGTACAAGTAACTCTAATGCATGCACCAAAGTCTTGGGTATTTCCATTTAGTGTTAACAACTCTTGTCGTCACTTGCAAAAAGACTCTAATACCTCAAACCGGGGTATAATAAATAATCAAGAAATATATATAAAGAATAAATTATCGAGAAAGAAATATAAATAATAAAAAGAATAGTATCAAGATACACTTATGCACCTCACCCAACTTCTGCAACATCGACAGCCTAAACAAAATCCAAAACCTCCAAACCCTATAGCTCCTCTCCTTGCCTACTTCTTCGCGGCATATGTCCTCAACATGTCCACTATCTATTTCAAAATCACCTACTCCCCAAACGCCTGGTCAGTAAACATTGATAGTGGTATGGATACCTATTTCTTTCTCTGGTATATTTTGGAATAATACATTAGTTTGGGTAGACAAAGTTACCTATCAAAATTTTATAGTTCTCTATAAGAACTATACACTTTTTCTTGTACATACAACGTATGAATATTTGGACCAGGAGCTAGTGAATAGGGTATCTAGAAGGAAAACATCTAATGAGATCAATCATAGTAAATATCTGGCCATTACATTTTTCAGTATGGTTCGCAAACGCTACAAAATCGAAAGAGGTATCATGTTACTATAAAAAGGCCTCCAAGACACTCCCCTATAATAAGATCAACTGCAACAAACTGTCCCAGAAATTTACCTTGGACTTTTTGGAGAATGGAAGAAGGTTGGATTTGGGTTGGAAAAAGGCTGGATTTGTAGAATTGCTACTTTAGCACTGTTATACCCCATCGATTAAGACTTGCATTTGGTCCAATGAATGCCCTATTGAGCATGATAATGGATGTAGATACACTTTAATCAAATGGGCATCTCGATAGATTTTTGATCCAATCATCAAGAGGTCACTTCCAGCATAGTTTTACATAATTTCGCTCTAACAATTATTATACTGATAACATCAGATAATTCGATACTTCAAGGATAATGTTTAATAACCTGACTTTAATCTTTTAAGATTTATATTAAATGAGTATTGACTGATATATCATAGTTCATTCATTATTGACAGGATCGGGAAGAGATTTCTAATCCTGTTCCTTAAGTGGATTACTCTAGAAGTGGTGTGTTACTATATTTCTTTCTCCGTTCATTTTTATCCTTCTTACTTTCCTATAAATCATCTATCTATTTGTACTAATATTGATACCCTTTCGGAGCTCCATACCTGATCATCATTTTTTTCTCATATCAGCCAGCAGGCTACCTCCCACTATTCTGTTGTGGTTCTCACTCGCAATATACCGGCACAATCCAGCTATTCAAAATGAAACCTGTTATAATCCCAACTTTTAGAGGTATTTCTTAGCAAGCGGTAAGGCTTCTTCCAACGTGAGAACTTTGACTGAGATGGAGCCCTAAGAGGTTGGAATTATAATAGGTTTCTCTGTGTGTATTTCGTAAATGGAGTAGACCTATTACACAAGCTTGATCAATGGTGAATTCTATTCATCTTAATATGGACCTTCTGAAATATTCGCCCTATCTATCAATCTTTATTAATTGTACGTACTGGTGGCAAATCAACCTCTTGGTCAATGGATCAGAACAACACTCACTGAAACTTCCGAGTGGAGAACAGAAAAAAAAAGTTTTATATAGCCAGCTTAGAAATTAAGAATACAATGAAATTGGTTGGATTTTCAACAGAGATTCATAATGCTCGAGCTTTGGTAACAGACTGATAACCGCTCGAGCTGGTGGTAAGTGAGAAGGAATCAATTTTTTCACTAAGCATTCAAGTCAGTATAAATCTTCTTTTTGCTTCTTATATGGCTTCTAGAGCCTAATTCAAGCAGATTTATGGAGCTCGAGCTTTCTAGACAATGACTCAAGCCAGCTCATGCTGGCTGGAGGGTAAGGCTTGCTGGACTCCAGCCGAATATTCAAGCTAAAGCTCGAGCCAGGTCAGCTGATGGACCACACTAATCAAGGGGGAACTCAGTGGATCGTCCCTTTGGTAGCTGTGTTCGATGCAGCCCGTTATATGTGCCAATTAGAGATATGTTTTATGTAATTACTAAAGTGTATTCATACAGTATATTTGGTGGAATGTGTATCTGAGAGTGATGAACGGTAATGCAATCCGCTTATGTATTTGACTCTACAAATATGGCCGACCAGTACAAACTCCCTCAAATCGGCTGCGAGAACACAATCGCAAAGTTTACTAACAAAGTGTATTCACAGTGTATTCGGTGGAGTATGTACCTATATTACCAGAGTGTATTCACAAAGTGTATACAGTGGATTGTGTATATGTATTATTAAAGTATCTTCACAAGCTGTATTATCAAAGTATCTTTGTTATATTTTGTATTGGCAGGGTACATTTGGGTCTTCCTGATACAGTCTATTCCCAAGGTGTATCCGTTGGATCTTTGTATTCCTCAACCGATTCATACTCAAAATGTACGTGACTTACCCTAAATCGTTGATGCAGTGCATTTTATAGAACCAGACTCTATTCGTGTATATCTCAAAAAATCTATTACCAAACATTCTCAGGCTGTTCCCGATACAAACTATTTTTTTTTCTGATATTCCGTATTCTTCCTCCCCACTTTACTCTATAGTAACAAACGCATATATTTAATCTCACTTCTTCCACTGTTTCCGAATATATCTTCAGTCAAATTGTATCTCTTGTTTAAGCTGTACTGCTTAATCTCAAGTGTCTCAAAAAAATGAACCTTCTTATTCACGAACCAAGTCGGTAGAACCCTTTTGAGATCATGTGTAACTCTGGTGTTCTTGATTCCGCTCACTCAAACTTCAGTCTTTGATTCAGTCTCTATAATTTCTGCGTGAAAAAGGTGAATGGAGTTATGTGATCGTCATTAATGGAGTGGACTTCAGAACTCCCCCCCCTGAAAGTTTTGCTTCCATTATTTCGGCTCTGGTTGGTCAGGTCTTGAAGACCTTCACCTACTAGTATCCTCTTACCAAGGTTCTTAAATATTTAGTCACGTAAGTTTGTTCATGAGAATCTCTACAATTATTCTACTTAATGCAAATGCAAATCTCAATTTTTTGGAAGCAGGTCTGGGGCGCATATAAACTCCAACCAATGAATTCATTGCAACATCAACGGCAGAAGAGGTAGAATGTGGAGATTGGAACAGCGACTTCTATTCACTAGGGAATATCATTCAATGCTGATTTGATTACGAACCCTAATTGTGATCAGAGAAAAGGTAAACACAAAATTTTCATTGATCGTCTGCTCGTATCTACTCACCCATCCCTCGACCTTCTCATCATCTAAGTCATCTCCAACGATAGAGTAGGAAGTCTGTCTTGCGCGGTCCCCAGCCCGCCCGGCGGAACACAGCAATCTTTGCCAAATGTTATATGCTCTTTCCTTTCTCTTCAGTCGGTAATCCATCTCACACGCAAACAGAGCATCTTTTGTCGCCATCTTGCACCGCGGTTAATCTACAACTTGGAGGTTTAGATCCCCTTATATACAATCTATCTATTCCAAATCGTCCCGTAGGTCTACCACATAAGACCGGAGACATCAATTAACAATAGAAAAGCCCACAACTTATAAAGATTTCCTTCCCACCGTTCAGTGAACACACACCCATATCCTCTACCTACAGTTTACCACATTTCTTATCACTCAACATCATCTACCCCACGATATAGAGCCCGCCCACCGCCGGAAACAGCACGACGGCTATACAGAACGCCATCACGATCATCGCAATCACTGGATATACCAAGAATGCCGGAGGAGACTCCTCCACCCATACGTGAGAATGACATCGTAAAACCCGCCGAGCTGGCCAGTCGTGATCCATAGCAAGATCGGCACCCGCTGATTGTGCTCTCGCCCTTTTCCCACCTTGTCAACACGCCCACGACGACGTAGGGAGCGGCGGTGTTGACGAATTTTAGAACTGCAACGAGTCTCTGGAAATGTGGTGATTGTTTCTGTATTGATTCGGTTGTTGTGAGCGTTCTTGATTGATTGGAGGTGCGCGGGATCTGCTGGTCATATTTCAAGCCGCTGGAAAGGTTCCCGTAGACGCATCCGACCACGCCCGCTACCATGTTCTCAACTGCAGCTCGCTGCTCCTTGTTCCACCATCCGCAGGGATATATCTCTTTCTCCCTCATCTTTTTCTGCTTCTCATCTGATGGCAGCAGGCCCCGCAATGGGCATATACCCGGGTAGAGTTAAAGGGCCTCCACCCGGCCCACCCAACCTGTCAGATCTGAGTACCCAATCCAACCCAACCCGTTGAACATTACCCGGGTAAAAGGTACCTTTTGACGGGTAGAGTTTTTGGTGTTGAGCATGAAATAATCGTATAATTGAAGTACCTACTCTAAAAACCTTGATGTCAAACCGGTATTTTCCCAAGAATAATGTCTCATTTATATGAAATAGTTGCAATTACTCTACCCAAGATATAACTGAATTACCTGGGTAAAAATGACCTTATACCCAACCCACCCAGCAACTAATTATAAACACCCTCTACCCAACCCAACCCATCCATTCTTTACCCGGGTATACCCAAGTAACCCGCTACCCATTGCGGGGCCTGGATGGCAGCCTCGATCCATTCAGGTCCAATACCGCTTCCACCGACGCCACTGTCGCGGTGATATCGCCCCTGGGACCCCACCACCGCCGCTGGCTACAATGTTGTCCATCTTGCTTGGATTGCACGGGCCGTGGTAATGGACGATATACATCGCCGGGTAGTTTGGGGCGCTGAGACTGGCGATCAGGTTTAGGATGGACATTGTGACGTACGGGATTGCCGTGAACTGGTAAGCTGCATAGCAACTCCTCTTTATCTGCTTGTCGCTGACCATGTACAGCTCATCGCTACCGTACAGGATCTGGATGAGCGCCGCACTGCTCTTGATGACGACAGCGCCAGCGGCGTGAAGACGCTCGGTCTCTGTCGCCCCAGGAGCGTCTTCCGGATCCTCCTCAGGATGGAAGCCTACTTCCCCTTCCCGATCCCCGCCAGGAGCAACGGCACGGCCTCGACCAGCGCCGACCGCGCTCTACAGTGTTGACCTGTTATAATTACCCACATCCGCATCCCCTCCGCCCAGTTTACATTTATGAACAACCGCCTGATATCCGCCGGGTACTGCCCGTGTATGTTTGTGGCCAGCGGGTTGACCTGCACCATGCCCGTTCGTTTGAGACCCTGCGGGTACAGGCATGCACAGCGCGCCTGCTTTGAGCGCGACGTCAAGCTCGCCCCCACGGCACCTAAAGACTAGCTTCCTGAGGACGATATTCCCGGCGCGCTGGACTAGCGAGGAGAGCGGCAATGGTAGCAGTTTCCGCGACGTTGGCGCCCGGCAGGGCCACAACGGTGAGCGCGTGCAGGGCCAAATTGAGCATGAGGCCGAAGAACTGCACGACATCTATCCAGTCTGTGGATCGGCGGACCTCGCTGCCGCGCTGGAAGGAAGGAGGTTGCGTGCTGCTGTTCACTTCGGGGTGCGCGCGGAACGGGGGCGGTTAGAGACCAGAGTCTGAGTTTAATTGTTTCCTCCGGAACGATGGAAACAACGGTAATTCAATCTTATCTCAAGTCGACCTATCTCGCAGAGCATGAGGAGAGGACTGAATTCTGCTCTTGTTAGAAAGGCAGAACTATTTATACGTACACGGTACTGAGGGAATGAAAATATATAATGTAGTGCTCACCTTGTCAAGTATTTTCCCCCGCGGCTATCCTTCTCCTTTACGATGGCTCTGAAGGATTGGCATTGCTGTTGGTATGTTTACACAAGTGGATGGATGGTGATGTCCCATGTCACTACTTCCCACTGTTGGCGTATCGCTGAGCTCATGAAATTAACCCCGCACTTGGCACGGCGAGCAGTTGATGAGCTCCTGGAGTTCCCCGACAAAGCGATTGGCCAGACATTGTTTCAGGTCCAAAGGGCCCGCTACAGCCGCGACATGTAAGGGGAAGAACGGCTTTATACATCGCGTTGGTGGCGTTCTTGAGCGAGATCATTCCAAACACTGCGTGACTGTCTTTATGTAAAGTACCTAGATAGACAATCCAGACCAGCCAGGTGAAACTTGAAACAGATCTTTCTTTACTCGCGGGATCTTCCATGTGGATAGATAGTCTATCCTATCGCACAGGTCACAACCGCAAAGCTTGGTCCCTGCCCAGTCTGGTGGCTAGGCTCAGGTGCAGCAGCGGCTGAGAAATATAATACAACACAACTAAACAACATGATACACCAATAGCAGCAAAAGCACATCCAGCCAACGCTGCAGTGGCTCTTTCCCCTCCTCGGACCTCCTATATAAAGACCGCCTTCCTCCTCCCCCAGTTCTATTCCCGCAATACGTTCATTTCCCACACCCACCGACAAGAGACACACGAAATTAAGGTATATACAGCATGCGTCTTCTCGCCCTCTTCTCCCTTGCGCTGGTGTTTATCATGGCCCATCTCACCATGGCCAACCCCGCTCCCGCCCCAATCCCGATTCCCGCCCCTGATCCCGCCCCTGTGTCTGCGCTGGACCTCGACAATCCTCTCGTCAAGCGCGCCTGCGTTGTTAATGGCTGCAAGTGCAGGGCCGGGGTAAAAAATGGCCAGTACTGTTGGGGCTGCAACGCGCACTCGGATGCAGGCAATTGGTTCCCCGGATCAGGCGACTACAAGAGCTGGGTGTTTCAATGTGGTAAGGCTGTATTTTCTGAGAGCGCTGTGAGAGCGGCGCTGATAACAAGGGCGAGTATAGGTGACCGAGGCGAGTGCTGTGTAGTTAACTCGCTGGCGAGCTGTACCTATGCAACGCCCAGTCCGTGTGGTCCGGCATAGGAAGGCGATGGAGATCTTTGTTTAAGCGCGGAGTTGTTTCATTACCTTGTGGCAGAAATGTTAGGATCTATCTTGTAGCGATCTCAATCATGCTCCGGGCTCTATTATGTCTAATTAATACCGCTGTGCGCTGCATCAAGTTATTAATTAGCAATTCGTTTCTTTATCTCTTTATCTCTTTATCTTGTTTGCGACAAAAGTACAATGAGCCAGTCGATCCGGCCTACCTGTTTATGTTTTTGTTTTTGTTTTCAGGTTTTAGCAGCAGACCCGGAGTTTATGTGCTTAAAATAGCCCTCAAGGTCCTTCCCTCGCAAAAAAAACTGGTTTCGATAAGTAAGCGTACGTGGTGATGTAATGTTAATTAGGGAAGGCTTACCCGGGGCAATGCGCTGGTACCACTCAATATGCAGGACGTCGCGATACGCCACAACGAGCCGCAATATGGCCAGATGCACCCGCCGCAAAGAGACTCAACGGGTCAGGCCTACTGGGTGAGCTGCCTGTCATGACCTTTGTCGACAGAATCTACCCAATTCAGAATCCTCGATCATTAATCGCTTGACCAATAGAAGTGCGAAATAGTCTTTTTAAAGATTTAGATTTGGACTCCGACGTATGTAGAACCTTACCTGAACGTTCGTGTGCAACGCCATTCAGTCTATCCAGAGCAAAGGGTGTCATAGACTACGGTCTGCATACAATTAATGAATTAAACAAAAAAGAAAAAAAAAAAGAAAAAAGAATTCCAGAGCAATGGAAAGCCAAGCCATCATAGAGTATCACTCGGTCTCGCGACACCATTACCACCGACTACTCCTTTTAGGCTTCCGAGCGTAGAATTCATGTGTATTTCAGTTCGTGACTAGAAGTTGTGTACATTATATCCTGAATAAATCCCGTCAGCCGTACCTGGTACCGTTATCGTCAAAATTGTTCCAGTATAGAGGACGTCATTATTGCTTCGTTGTCAATATCCAACGCCGTCTCTCCTGGAAATAAAACTGCAGTTCTGGAATTAAGTCCCGGGATACCAAACCCTTGGGCTTATCCTCGAATGCACCCTACGACACCATACTCGATATATATTTCCCGTCCCGCGAATTGCCGACATTTTTAAATCCAGCCAAATACCTTCCCTGTGGTTGCGTATGCTCAATACTCAAACACTGTGTGGAGAGACAAATGATACGCAAAGGATTGATCGATAGCTCCTTATATTTTCCATTCAAAGCCTTGGACGTTGGGATTAACCACGCCTCCGTACTGACGGCACTCCAGAGTGAAAGCATCTCACCAAGGTTAGACAGCCTAGACCCAGATCGATACTTACTTCCGCGGAGAAAGATGGGTATCCAACTCCACCGAGCTGGTGGACAGAGTCATATATCTTCCAGATTAAGGGCTGCATGGCGAGCTTTGATCGAACACGACTTATACATCAGCTCGCGATCGCCAGATAATAAAATTCCGTATATATATAGATATTGTATAGAGCCTAGTGATGGGCACGAGACAAGACGAGACCACATTTAGGGTGGCTTTCTCTTTTCTTGTGCTTAGGAAGAGTAGTTCTTGTCTTGTCTCGGGACGTTCTACAAAGTCTCGAGAGGTCTCGAGACTTTGAGAAAAATTACAAATGTAGGAAAGAGTTGAAAACACTCGAATGTTTTTCGATATTGCTCCAACCATATGTGCTAATTATCATCTTGTAGAAGAATTGTTTTTTCAAAGAGTATGATGCCTACGAACCCTTTCCAAAGGGTCCAAAATAGTCTCACGGAACATCTCGAGGCCAACTTCGAGTCTAATCCATAATAGTCTCGAGTGAATTGCGTAGTGATGCACACAACACAAAACAGGTCGAGATTTCCATTGATCTCGTCTCGTCCTGCATTTGGGAAGAGTAGTTCTTGTGGTTAAAGAGACCTAGGGTAGGTATCGTGCGAAGTCGCGAGATGGCAGCTCGAGCACCGGAGTATACCAGATTAAAATCAGAATTAGGTTAGGGTTTGAAATAATTCTCGAATTTATGTACGTATTAATTTACGTCTCAGACTCGTCTGGAAAATGTTCCATTGTTCAACAGTTTATCATGTTTCGAGACAAATTGTCTTGCCCACCTACAGGTCTCGTCTTCTCTCATATCGTCTAAAAAAACAAAGTCTCGAGACTTTTTATCTCGTGTGCATCACTAGAATTGCGAGACTATTTTCATTGGTCCCATCTTGTCTCGTTTCGAAAGCTCGGGATTTAGTCTCGAGACCTCAAGTCTCGTGCCCATACCTATGTGTACCCGAGTTACCCCAAAAGCTGTACCATTAAACCCTCCCGCCCTTTTATTCCATTCGGTCTTATTTGTACACGCTACATCATTCACACTATCCCAAAATTGAACCTGCGCGATGGGTGACAATGACGGTGACCTTTGCCGGGCCAAGATCCTGAATCCGGAGCCACCCCGGTTCTCTAGAACACTTCTATACTGGTTATTCCAAACACTTTGTAACTTATAGCTGTGTCTCTACCAGTGATATCACTCCATATAGGAGCCCGATCTTCCAATATATCTGAATTCGAATGCCGCATTGCAGAATATGACCAACATCAAATCTCTTACAACTGTTAATGTCCTCCGATGGATTATCCCACGCCAAGGCTAAGCAATCCAAAGCTCTCAAATCCAAGCGTCTTCTCGAACACTCCATAAGAGGATTGGTATGATGTGCACGTCCACCCAGAACCCAGCAGCAAAGTTTTCGAAATAATTAAACACAGTAGTTTTTTGGCATTCCAACACCAACCCAAGTACCCCATACAAACGTAGAGCTTATCCGAGAGTCTGTTGTCTTACTGCTGCTCAGCAAACACTTCCGTGTCGAAACGGGAATCTCTCAAATTCACAACCTATCACTCGCCATATCGATCCGTGCCAAGACACTCCTGGCTTGACTCATCACCTTGGCCGCCTATTCCTATCTGAGGTAACACAAAGGCGATATATGAAACCGTAACCTAAAAAAAATGCCAAAGATCATCCAGTGTGGTCCACGAGACCTTCTGGCTCGTGGCCTTGCCTCGAGGCAGTACAAGGCATATGGTCTAAAAGGCAAAGGTGCTCGAGGTACTAAGGTTTGTTTGCCTCGAGCTGCTCGAGGTTTATGTAATACTACTATTAATAGGAATTGAAATGTCTTAGATTGTTTGCTTTCTACAAATCATCAGAGCTCCTCGTTCAAGAATTCTCATGATAACATTTACCTATTAGCAGACTTCCCCGTGATCGATATGGCTACTTCTTCAACAACAAATCTGAGGACTGGATCTGGTATTACCAGCAGTAACTTTACCAGCGATGATGTTATTAGATTTCCGGAACGGCTGGCTGGAAAATGTGGTAAATCACGTACTCCCTATATCTTTTGGGTGTGTTATTTATATCTAATTTGAACGGGCTTTTAGAGCAGATGAGGTCTTCTAATACGGTTCCGGGCCATCAACCCAGTGGAAATGATACCGAGAGGAACAAATTCAGTGCATATTTATATGTTAGGAGAATGATTATTCGAGATACGATTCCAATTACAGATGCAGGTGGTGCAGGAGAGATTGCTGCTACGGTACCGCCACAAAAACACCTTGTTTCTTGTACCAATTGTACGAAGATTTGGCTTCCGATTGACAGGAAAGTAACCACCACCACCGATTATATACGGCACTACAGATCACATCGCCCGGACATGCCTGCCACCGAGAAGGATGAGTCAGATATGCTCTCTCGCATGTGTAATAAGAGATCCAGAACAGTGCAGACTCCATGGACTCTAGTGTCATCTGCCTCTACAGTGCGAAATCCCGGAGAGGTATTCAACGAAAATACATACTGGAGGCTTCTTACTTCATTTTTAGTTGAGACGAATTCCTCGTTCAGACTGATAGAGAGAGAGTCTTTTGGGAAGCTCATGAGGTATTGCAATGGCTCTGTTCCGAACCTCTCACGTCAAACAGTGGCAAGAGATCTCCGCCGAATGCACGATGAATTGAAACCAAGAATTCAAGAGCGGTTCCACAAACATGTACTGGAGGGGGGATCATTCAACATTACCTTGGATGCATGGACGTCCGGGAATAAAATTCATACCTCGGGATTACGGCTCATTGGATGGATAAAGACTGGGATTTAAATGATACAGTAATTGGTTTTAAACGTTTGCTATGCTCACATACGGCAGAAAATCTATGTCACACTCTTCTGAAGTGTCTGCGGGAATTCAAAATCGAGTCCAACATACGATGTATTACAGCCGATAATCATAAGGTCAACGACGCTATGTTTGATCGTCTTCAAGCTAGAATGCCAGGTTGGCGGAAAAAGCATGGTCAGGTACGGTGTATGGCACATGTTATGAACCTTGCAGCACAAAAGATCATTTCGTCATTAAAGGCTGAAGCTCAAGAGACAGAAGCAAGCATGTCGGACGAGGAGGAGGGTACAAGAGAAAATACACCCGGTGGGGTGTTGAAAATGCGCAGACGCATTATGTCCAAAATACGCGCCTCCAATCTCTTGACGGAAGCACTATCAAGTCAAGCGTTGGCAATGGACCTCAAAGACCTTAAAGCATTGATGGATATGAGGATCCGGTGGGTCTTATTCACTCCAATTACCCATCAAATGAGTATACTAATTATATTCGTTCCCGTTTAGCTGGAATTCTACATATACAATGATAGAACGGATCCTCTACCTCCGACATGCATTAGAACGCCTCATCAGACTGGAGGAAAAGCTGGGTCCCTCCGGTTCTTTCCTATCTGTTAACGATTGGAGCATGTTGGAGAAACTGCGAGAGATACTGGAAATATTTGTTTTAGCTACTACCCGAGTATCAGCAACCCGATACCCTACTTTACAGCTTCAACTTCCCTACTTCACCTTACTATTGTGAGACCTATGTGTTTTTAAGGAAGAACAAAGTGACGAGACCACCGGAAATCCAGCACTAGCACGAGCATGCGAGGAAGGGTTCAATTTGTTGAATACATACTGGATGAAAACAGACGAACGTTCTGCACAGGCGATATCTCTAATCCTAGACCTCCGCCTAAAACTCGTCACATTTACACACCTAGCGTGGGAGGATGAATGGGTGCAGAGTGCACGAAGAAAACTGGAAAGAACCTATTTCCGGCATTACGCTCCAAAAGCGTCCTCTCCAGATACATCTAGCCCGCCAGCTTTGTCTCAAACAGATCCACTAGATGACATACTCTTTGGCGGGCCGAGCAGAATCCCCTTTGACGAAGAATCTCTGAACTCGCAACTGGACATCTATTTACAGGAGTCAGTATCGGATCGAACAGTTCCAGCTCTTGTTTGGTGGAAGGCAAATTGTCACAGATTCCTAGATCTTGCAAGAATAGCTCGAGACTATATGTCTATTCCAGATAGTAGCGCACCCTCTGAACAGCTATTCTCACGAGCTGGGGATATAATAAGCAAGAAACGGAATAGATTGGTTGAATCAAGCGGGCCGCTCCTACTAGTCAAGAGTTGGCTCCACTGGCCAGAGGTTGAAGAATGGGAAATCGAACTAGAAAGAAAGACCGAAGAAAAAGGAGATATCAGCGGGTCAGATGCAGATATGGAATCCGAATATGGTAGGCATCAATAACCTTTAAACAACTCCAGCGAATACTAATAGTAAATGAATCATTAGCAATTGTGAACGGGTTCTGATTTCTTACAGGGCAACGGGTTTATCTTCTTTTTATATACCTGTATCACTAGTTCTTATCTGTTACCAAGAATAGTATATAATTGCCTTGATTACCTCGAACACCTCGAGCCATATTTCCTCTTCTCTCGAGCAAGACAAGTCACACCTTCAAAAGGCAAAGGTACCTCGAGGCATATACCTCTACCTGCCTCGAGCGGCCTCGTGGACCACACTAAGATCATCTATCGTAAATAATAATCACGGGAAGTTCGCTTTGTGAAATTCTTTCACGAGGGTGGGGTTAGCTTTGGAAAATCCACAACTACCCCTACCGAAATCTCCCGGCCAATGCACCAAAACGATGCAACTACTTGTGCATTTCAGCGTCTAAAGTGGGGAGAGGATACTTATATGCTACGTGGAATCGTGGCCGTTTGAGAACCGTTTGCGGTGCAAGCATATTGTAGATCGCTTGTGGGTGTTTGATTCCTGTACATAAACCTCGTGATACATTTATTATTAGTATATCTTTATATCTGGCCAACCTCCAACCCGTCTTAACTGTCCGCATGCGAGACACCGTCGTTTTGGTTACAACAGTTGGATTGTTACTATTATGACAGGACGAAAACGACTTTTAAATGGTGTAATTGCCGAGACGTACGTTTAAACAGGTTCGGAATGCTTTCGTAGACTCCAACTGAAGTGGTATGTATGCGATGAATAGGTTTGTTCATGGCGCGATGCGATGGTTGATAGATACCATAAGTGTCCGTAAGCAACAGCTCCTGAAATCCTGGCAGCACTTGTCATAACTGGAACTATCTATGTACGCCTTAGAGAGAATATAATCTGTCATACCCTAACCCTGACGACCCTAGCCCTGGCTCTTTTACACACTTAACTCTACATATTACGAGACATCTCGCCCTCGGTCCCGAACATCACATCCGGACAATCACAAGATAATATCGAACGACAATTGCAAAGGGGTGTGCGCATCTACAACGTAAGGATCAAAGGTCGCCATTGCTCTACACACTTACTCACACTCAGCGGCAGTGCGTCGACACTAAGCTTAGTAACCACTCAAACACGCGTCACATATCGATCGAGCTGATCTCGCGATCTCTTTTCTCACGATATCCGGGATTGATGCCAAGATGCCAAGACTGCACTTGATGGCCCTTGAAATAAACGTGATGCCAAGACTGCTTGACTAAACGTTGACGTGACAGTACCTTTCCAGACCTGTGAAGTTTGGTTACGAAGTTTCTTTCTTAATTAGAGTAGTATTAGGTACATAACATTGTGGGCGCGTGAGTGCGACGATTTGTAACCCAATTCCTTAGTGATTCCATTCCTTAGCCTGGCCCCTGATGCCATTACTTGTGTCACGCTCTCATTGTTTTACCTTTTTTTTTTTTTTTGATTAAACTCGCCTGGATATTTCCGATTATGAGTTTAAAGCCAGATATAGAGAATGTACGAGGTTGTTTCTTCTTATATGTATAGGGTCTTGGAGTAGGTGCGCGGGTAAATGGCACTGGTTCCCCGATGTTTGAAATACACAGAATCGAGTGATATTACATGCTTCAGCTACGACACATCTGCATGTCTTGGCACTCAGAGGCGGGCCGAGACGGCTGTTCGCGGTCTATATAGCTCGGCTCAGTCAGCGCTACTCGGGCATGCACTCCTGCGAATTGATCCTGGACGGAATGAAGAGCTCTTGACGCCCTTGTAGCCTTAGTGTCCAAAATTTGGTGACTGGTCATACTTACTCAGGCGCAGACTCACTTAGAAATAAAGAAAATTCGTGATGCCTGCGGACGGGAGGCGGGCGATATTATCAAGTCTTTAAAATTGATGTTGTTTGCCGGAATTCTTAATACCTCGTTAACAGTTCGGCTAGTAAATCTTCGGCGGGGAATCGCCGTCATGGCATTAATGTTTCCGCATATTTAAGCATTTGATTATTACTCGCAAGATTGAATTAATCGATCAATATGCAGGGGTAAGAATATCGCTACGATTGTCTAGAGTACTCGTAACTTCCTGACGTTTTTGAACGCGACTGATATTGCATACCATACAAAAATACGCCAAGATCCTGATTTTGGGTGTATGCAATAGTGGCCCAGTCCAAAAACGCCAGGAGACTACGAGTACTGGTCTCCTCTTATTTCTATTTATATGCAACAACGGAGATTGGCCCTACAGCAACATCCAATGGCAGCCCATGCGTAATAAAAAACGCTGGATCGGCGATAATGCGTGCCAAGAGCAATACCATCTGAAAATATCATTGGGAGATACCAAAGGCCAATCGATAACAACGGAAAAATATATGTATATATGTCACGGTGCAGGTAGGCCTCAGCGGTAGAGATAAATTGTAAATTAAATAAACATTAGGAGTAATCTCAGATTACATGTCAAGGGCAAAAACCCAAGAAAAAAGTCCAATCGTTCCATCGCATCACTTCCAAACATAGAAAACACATACATACATGAATCCATATTGTAGAAACACTCGCATGGGACATACATTACAACCTCATCCTCTTCCCTCAGTCTTCAGAGCTCAAGCTAGGGAGTCCACATTTAAGATCTCAACCCAGCGGGCCCCAAGTAACCCCAATCAAGCCTGACCGCCTCAATCATCTTGTAACAGTTCATGCGCGCATACACATCGGCACCACCTAGCTTGCCAACCCAAAGATCATTAATCTTAGGCTCGCAATAATCCGTCAACCACTGTCCGTAGGCGCTGGTCTGTGCCCAGGGATTCCCGGGGTTTGCTGCAGTAGCCGGTCCGGTAATCTGAGCAATAAGCGGGGTGCTCGCTGCGACTGCGTCGATAGTAATCCGCTTGAGATCCATGACATACTGCCTCTGGATCTCAACATCCGCCCGGTTTCCAAGACGAGAGACGTGTCCACCGATGTAATAGTCAAAGTCATACTCGAGGATCTGGTCGTGTGCCTTTGTCCAGCCGGGAATGTACTCGGAGGCACCGAGTTCACCGAAGGGGGCCCATCCGGGGAAGACAACATCGATGAGGGCGAGGATCTTCTGCTTAGGGGCGTAGATGAAGATGTTGCCAACGGCGTGGTTGTCGCCCTTGTATGAGAGCTCGACAGTCTGGTTGCCGACCTGGAGGGTCATATGTTTATCAAAGGTGACGGTTGGCACAGGTACCGGGAGGTTGCCCTGGTTCAAGACCTCAATAATGCGCTCCTTGGATAGTTCCTGTGCAATGAAGGTGACACCCGCATCGGCCCAGAGGACGGCTCCAGCGGCATGGTCAGCGTGAGCGTGGGAATAGACGAAATGGGTGACTGGAATATCCGTAACGTTCCCAATGGCGTACAGGCAGTTGCGGCCGATTAGGGGAGGACAGTCCATAACAATGACACCCTTGTCAGATACAAGAAACCATGACTGGTACTCGCCATTGAGGATAGCATAAGCTCCTCCTCCGAGGTGTTGAGTTAGATAACCCGTCGCAGGTATGGTCATGCCTCTAGCAGTCTCAGGGATAGGAGCCCATCGCGTGGTATTGTAGCTGGTTGAAGGGCAATGGGCGAGAGCAGAAGAGACAAGGCCGAAACAGGCGGAGAGGAGTGAAAGACGCATCTTTGTAGTCTCTTTGGAGCGGTGTATGAATGAGTGAAGTTGATGATGCTGCGGATGCTGGATGGTGAAAGATGAGGGAGGAGAGCGGGATCTATATATGATTTTGGCAATCTGCTCTGATCTCGCCTTTACCTTCAGGATTACATCGAGGCCCAGCTCCTGCACTACAAAGGCTATCCTTAGCACGTGGGGGCCACACAGAACGCCGAAGGTGGAAATAAACCCAAGGTATTCACACCTGTCTTGCATCCTACTCTTGAGCAGGTACATCTAGCAGAGACATCGTACAAACTGCTGCGGACGATCACTCAGACCCATGACTCAGACCAGACACTCCGAGGAAAAGCCCCGGACACGGCTCATTTCCTTGGCCTGTCCTGGAGCGGGGGGAGAGGTGAGTCCATGAGACTGTTGGAGTCGGTCGTTGTTAGTTTTGTCCTGGCGTTGCGTGAAAATGTTGTCCCTTGGGCTTCCAAGCCAACAGCTTCTGGGTCTAGATAGCGGGTCCGCGCCCTCGGAAAAACCTGTGGGTGTACTACTTAGCACCCTTTCCGTGGTTCTAAGAACATGGGTGAGACATTGGTTCAAGACTATAGATAGGTCTCAGAAGGAGGGTGAATCTCGAGGATGGGCGCGGGGTTGTACCTGACAAGAGGTGCCACAAGCGTTGCTGTTGCACAAAGTTTTACGAGAGCAAATCAGAGGTGCAGACGACACGGCAGGGTGGCTGGGTACATGGAGTGAGTACCAAGTAGAGTAGGAATATCTAACTACATAACTCTCCAACATCGCTGCAGTACCGCTCCTGGATGCACAAGCAAATATTGGATGAGGTTTCTGATCGATTTCCTCAATGAGGTGAAAAAAAAGGAAGAAGGAACATCGATGAACCCCCAACTGTAGCCCCGATTCAGAACTCAAGCTATGTATCTTAGCAGGCCTTGTTGGCACGGGTGGATGGGTCGCGCACTTGGCTTCCAATCTCTGCGACACTGCAGAGTAGGTAGAGTAGTACTCTAGAGGAGCTACATTGAGCGGAAAACGTTCACCAATCGCGCCTCATGAAAAAGCCGTATTCAGGTAGAGTAGGTATGGATAGTCAGATATCTTGATTAGAGCTCTGCAAAGCTTATGCACAGCACACTTGATCGTTGGGTTATGCACGTGCGCATTCCATGTACTAAGGAAGAAAGTGCATTTATCCCCACCAGTCTCGAGCGAGGCTTAGTACGGGTTAGGGTTATTAGAGACCCTGTGATACTGAGAGGGTAATATTCTTCGCGGGAGACCAGAGACTGATTCTAAACATGAGGCCAATATTAATACGCTCAGCCTTGCCCACAAGCTATTTATTACCAGTAGTCAGGGAATGTTCTGATCCACCCCAGTAGGCAGTAGGTCATAACTCGGATAAATCTCTTCCGTAGAACATCCGTGGCGTGTGTGTGGCTACAGCAGCTGAAATAGAAGAATCACGGCAGGATAATGGGGCCTAAAATATCCCCTTCTCTACCTGAGTACATATGACCATAATAGTTGCCTACAACAGGAGCAGATGTTGTAGTGTAGGTCGTAGTAAATACCACACTGGGGATAATTATAGACATCTCAACCAACAGCGGAGTATAGAGGCGCAATCCGAGTGCAGCAGCTGACTATTATATCTGCTCAACCATTGGGTCCAGCTACAAACGAAGGGAGATTCCATTCCAGTCGGGAATTTCTCAAGAACACCCTTTCCCCACACCCACCTCTACCCAACTGGTGCGGCTAAAGAAAAGAAAAAGAGAAAAAAAAGAATATTCGAGCAATGTCACTGGTATGTATGTAAGTACCCTACATACAGACACTTCTGCGAGGTCTCTCTGTACTCCCAAAGTAGTGTGGCGCTCGCGAGGGTGGATAGTTATTCCTTCCACGCCCCTGCGGTGCATCCCTGCTCGCTTCCTGAAGCCATCCCAAGCACGGGTATGATGTGCATAGGGCACCTGAGTGGAGCAGACTCGCTCCCTAACCAAATACATGCGCCACTCTAGAATAGGTATGTGCCTGTCGTCCCCCCAATTCCACCCCCCCGGAGACGAGATATTAAGCTCCACCTCTAATGTTTTATTTCGTGTCCCTCTCGTGCGGGTTAGGGTTGAATACTTGTCTCGTTAACCCGAATTGAGCCTCTACTATTTCGGTAATATATACCGACCTCAGGCGCCCCCCGGTAGAACTGAGCGCTCCTTGCTTTCGTGTGCTGTTCGCTACCCCGGTTGCCTTTGTAGAGAAGATACCTCAATCCCGTCTTACTGTGCCACTCGCATACAACTGGTGCTCTATTTCCAATGCAATCCCTATATATAGAGTCTTCGATGAATTACATTTGAATTAAAGAAATTTTCGCTACCCCACCTTACCTGGATCTGATAACACTGATATTATCTATCAGAGCCTGGATTTCGTACGCGTCCAAGAAATGCAAGGGTTACAGCCTGTGGCATGGCGGAACGGCGCCACCCCCTACAGACAAACCCCTGTCTTGGATCCTTGCTGGGCTCTGCATTATCTGGTTCACTCTATATCTCTCACATACGAGTAGAAGTTCTTCCGTACACGTAGCTGTCAGACCCGCGACTCTACATAAATCAGACCCCTTTCAGTAGGGCAACAAGAAGTACCTACAGACCTACAGAGCTAGGTACACATGAATTACCCCGATGGAACTGAATAGAGACAACAGCCGTTGTTCCGAGCAACCGAGATAACCGAAATGGGTCAGCCGTCCTCGCCCACTCGTACCTAGGTAGTTTAGGAGAGAGACGTGTCTCCTGTGAGGACAGCCAGACGTCTCTCCGCATTCCCCATTGGGACTTCCAAAAAAGATGGATTCCTGGAGCAAGCCTGTCTGCATCTGCTTATCAGGTGGGAGAGAAGGCGGAATAGGTACTTACCTAAACGTACATAGTCTCGCTCTCAGCTTCGGCTTGATACCAGTGGGGATGGGAAGGTACAAAATTTTCACTCTCGGTGACTTTGGCTCGATGTGCAGGTGCATTACATATATGTATCTCCACCCCTGGTCTGTCCAGCGAGAAATGATCATCGAAAACACCCGTCATCGTATCAATTGGCATTGAACAAGACAACCCATTTCCAGATCAGTGTATCTAAGACTCTCCCATTGCTAGATAAAGCACAATACTCCCTCTGTCGGCACATCCTCGTTCCGCACCTCTTCGTGTTGGCCAGTATTCTCAGGTGGAGATCGCTTTTTATTTCCTTTCGGCGATGTCCAGAGACCGGGGGAGTGGTGCCTTGCAAGTGCGTTGGGATTCAGACTCGACAACAAGCAGAGTTCTAGACATATATGCACTCCACTCTATCTTGGACGGTGAAGATGAACTTGGAATGTAGAGAAAAGCCTTTGGTGACAGCGGAACATGTACTCTGCACACAGTACCTACATATCGTGTTTGGTTGCTGAGGTCATCAGATATGCATAAACAAAGTTGAATATTGCACTATTTACATATACACGCTCTGCTTTACCTTCAGAGCTCCTACCACTTGCGCCATTGACCTCCGTGAGTCGCTACTCCGTATTCAGGTAAGGCCTCCCGTACTTCGGCGTCTGTGGGTACCACTGCGCTGTTCGTGGATTCCTCCCGGCTAGCACTCTCCTAGTTAGAGTAGAACAGTATGGAGTGTTTTCCACCCTGAATGCGGGTACTGCCGCGCCACCAACCAAACATGGCGTTTTTTGCGGCTGAGCTTTCCCCCTTTCTCGCTTGTGCCGTCATAATCGATCGACAGTCTACGGGTCGATCCCTTCCCTAGTTTGTATAACCTTAAAAAATTGGCAGACGCAGATACATGTATGTAGATAGATGTAGATATGACAGAAGACAGACAGAGGGACAGTCAGAAAGACAGCCAGCCAGCCAGCCAGACAGCCAGCCAGTCAGTCAGTCAGTCAATCTAGAGTACAGCCAGACAGACCAGACAGATATTACTCGATCGTTGGGCTCGCATAAGCGAGTCTAGTGCCCGTCAAGAGGTGCCACGGTCGCAACCCCAAGAATGGTCCTTGGCCGAGAAGAGTTAGAAACGTGCTTGCATCAATTCACACCGCCCAGGAATGTACCTAAACGGGGGCTACCGCTCCTCTCCTCCTCCTCTACTCTCGCTCTCTACTCGTGAATATCTGAATATCTCCATGCGAGCCTCTGTACCAACGAGTACATACATGCACCTCTCTTCGTTGTATGGTCCATCCCTTCCTATCCGTCTTCAGCCGTGATTCAGCTGCCCAGATTCGGTCAGTCACTATATCTCTAACTCTCTGGCTGTATCCTTGCATGCGCGAAAGACATTCCCCCCCCCCCCCCCCCCCCCGATTTAGTCACTTGCATCATCACCATATGACCACTGCTTCTTACACGACATCTCTTCCCTTTCTCCCCCACGAGGCTGTAAGCACGATTTTGAGTTTTCCTTACAGCCACACATAAGTGCACTTTTAGCACTCGTAAATAGACTAAAGACTGACTGACTGTTGTTGTTGGCACATCTAGTAATTCGAGCACTTCCGGTCAGACGATCGCTCGTAATGTCTCTTGAGATTGTGCATTTATCGCTGTTGGCCAGCATCGTATCGTTGGCCAAAGGCATTGGCATTTGTCACTGTCGGCGAGCATGGCACTGGCTAGCTGGCGAATGGAGGAGGGAAGCGTTGAAGGGTTTAACTGCGCAGGTGCTAGCTCGCGTATCGCGCAGTTCAGCACCTATTGCTATATTAAAACATGGGAAGGTAACAGCTCATGGATGGATATAGTTGGTTAACGGAGAGCATAGATATGGTTGTGCCATGTACCAGTATTAACTACATGTAACTCTTCGCCGTGGGCCTTGGCATGGTTCTGCTTGGGCTGATCCATGCTCGCTAGAGGCCTGCCATGTTCGCGAATGGCTGTAGAGTTCATCCCTACTGTCTACGAGCAGACCGGCGAAACCGATCACACAGGCAGTACTGCCGATCTTCGCAAGCAATGAAGGATAATATTGTTTCGCGGCCTTGTCGCCGCATCTTCAGATTTCAAATTCGATGCTCGACAACGCTGGCAGTAGAAGTACCGTTCTATGGCTGCTAGCTGGGGAGTGGAATGTAGTAGTATGATGGGACGGATACGGTTCAAGTGAAATGGAATATGAACCGCGCCAATGGGGCCACAAATCTACTCAATCCTTGAATGCATCATGTAATGTCCTCTCCTGAAGAGACTACGATTATAGGCGGTACCGCTATGGAGAGGTTGACTATAATATTGGAGTTTCAACCCTAACCCTGGATATATCAACCCTGATTCGGGGTTTGGATTGAAAGATACACTGTCCGGATACCTATAGGTAATGCACAATACGTCAATGCTCTCTGATTCGGCAAATCCAGCCTGTAGAGATCTGGGGTAGCAACGGCAGAGCGATGGAAGACACTGCCGAACAGTGGTTTTTGAAATCAGGGTATTTACTGCCTTGCAGAACGGCCTGGGTATACCCAGCCAACAGGAGATTCAAGGCCTGTGATCAACGGTTGCGATCAACGTCTTTGTAAGATGTATAGTATTATACACGAACGAGGTGCTGGTGATATCTCAATGAGTACTTATTTGTGCACTCGGATCTAACCCTTTTCCCAGGAGCGTGGCCGGAAATTATCTATCCTTCCTACATGGATTCGATGGGTATGCACAGTGCTGCTCTTCCTAGGCCTCCGAGGCCATTCACTGGTATCTTTACTCTCGTCTCATCATTCAAGAAAAGACTTGCAAAGTCACTCAAACTTGAAAACTGCACTCCCGAGGAGATTGATATCCTCTTTAGGCACTATGCCATGTTCTGCCGAACGTTGCCTTACATGCAGGCACCGGGCCGCGGAACGTCTGAGAAGGAGATTCGTCAGGGGTTGTTTCGGACCAAATAGTTGATCACAAATTACATGCAATTATTAACAATTGCTTGGATCGCATGAGGCAGGGTAGTTTCTCGGTAACAGGGTTGGGGGTGGTTGATCTTTTGCGCAAGCTTTAATAATAACCGACTCTATTTTCCAGCATTGTAATCATTACTACTTACGCACACTCTACACATATGGACTAGACCATGGCATTATTACCTACACCCAAAGATAAGGTTAATCTCAAAGAATAGTGCATGTATCCACATATTCTGGTCTCGCTTGAATGTATTTGTTGGATTGTCTTCCCAAGAGGGAATTGGGTGCGCGCTTTCTTCAGAGAGCCCTAATCTCGAGGACGTAATACATCTAAATCACAAGTACATACTCTATCATGGGGCAGACAATATTCTTCATGTTCGTATAGCATCAGGATCCGGGAAGTCTTCCAATCCCCTTACCAAAGCGTGAAGGGGGGTGGTCATGAATCTTGACTCGATCTTCACTCGTGACCAATCCGCTTATTTGACGCTCGAGTCCATGTGAGCTATAATGAAACCTAGAACCTATAACAATTCTCAGATAAATAGAAGTGGGTGGTTTGAACAATCAGATAAGATCACCTTATCTAGATCTAATCATGGCCTTATGCAAGCATAGGTGATAGCGTGTGAATGTAAGATCACATGCGAACTTTAAGGGGTACTCATTTTTTGGCCCCTGATTCATTCGGTGCCACGCGAAACCACACATGTAGATATAGAAACAGGACTTATATCCCAATCGGTGACATACTCCGATTTCCAACGTCGGACAATTAAAGTACCAAACGATTCCATTCGTCTCTACTGACTCACCTTTACGGTATGAAAAGGTAAATGTGACCTTCTTTACCAGTGACGATCTCGAGCTATGCTTACTCCCAATGGACAAATTGATCTGAAGGTTGTATAACACGCGCTATACCTATTACCCACATGAGCCCATTGAGATTCATGACCGGGCACGATTGGACAAGTGATCATGATGCATGATCTACAATCCGTCGGGGGGATCAACGTGTAGGGCGGCGAATGACCATAGGTAACATTGGCTTACCCTTTTAAAAATTTGGCCAAACGCTTTCTTTCCATGTACCAAAGATGTTGGTAATACCACCAGATCGGTATCAATCATCTGATCTGAGCCAAACACTGGCCAATCTTCCGCTCACGTTTACTACACCCACAGGAGGAGAATGGCAGCATCTAAAAAGCAAGGAGTAAGTGGCTCTAGCCCGGCCCGATGGGGCGCGACAGCCCGAACCTATAGGAAACCGCCGAGGGTTGCAGGTGCGACAGATGGCGATGATTAGTATTTCTGCAGACGCAAAACCGTACGAAGGTAGGTGTCTGCCGACCGCAACTTGAATACGAGTGAATATCATGTTTTCACTCGTGACGGACGCTGTTCATTGTTTCTATGTGCGCAAACTTGACGGTGAAGGTGCAAACATATGAGACTCGGCTTGCTAAATTGACTACTCCAGTACCGTAAGGGGGGCGGGTTGTGTTATCATAAACTCTCTGTATACCAGAGTACCCAATAGCCCCATAGTTACCATAGTTACCATATTGGCATATATCGTTCTACGCTTGGAGGCCAGAATTCAACAGACATCGGAGTCGAGTGATGTTTCATGAGTCGGCTATCGCACTATGTCTTGGCGCGCTCTATGCAGCCAGCTATTCGCCCGGGGCGGGCCGTATTTTGTATGATGTGTGTGTCCAAGTCTTGACAGTGGTGACAGGCTACCTATTACTCCCACAGCTGGAAGTTGAAGTCGAAGCTACGTTACGCCACGGCGAGAATGTGATTACCATGGTAGACGTGAGTCAGCTCCAGGGGGTAACATTGCGAGCTATGTTTTTGTTATTCACCCTAAGGCCTATTGCGATATCCTGAGTTCTTAAGCAACAGAACAACATACATGTAATTCTACCAAAGCCTAGTAGAGCTTGCTAACCAAGTACTAGTACAAGTATTGTGTGACCAGCTTTAGCCACAGATACGCTAGTCCTTGTATGATGATGCTTGTATTGAGGAGTAACCGCGTCACGTCAGTTAAATACAGGTTAATGTTAACACCGTCGCCTATGCCAAGACGCTAGCGTGACAGTCCTGTCCTGTACTCATTTAGTAAGAGGCTTGGCGATGTTAGGAGTTACATGTTGCTGACTAAGATTGCGGCACGTGACCCAGTAGTACATGTTTGGATTTCGCCTACAAACTTACCCTGAAGCTACCACAAGGAGGTTAATAAACTAATCCTTGGGATAGTCTGCTAGCAATCATCTGGCATCGAGTTTGTTATAATTTTGCATGGTCTCTTAGTTTTGCCGGTCCCAGAGGAACCTATTTAAGATGAAATGAGAGTCAAGAGCAACATGATTAAAATACTCAACCCTTACTGCGGTATATGTATAGTGAGGGCGAGAGAAGACATTTCCACACCAACAAACTATTGACGGTCACTTTGGGGCGTGCGTACGGGCAAGATAAATTGGGTACGAAACCCATTTGAAATTTCAACAAAGTAATTTGTGAAGAGACCAGGAGAAATTACTATGAAAGCAGTAAGTGAGTGGACTTTACGGGATTTAACCGGCATTTAGAACAGTACAAGACGAGACTAAAGCATAGTCTTGTCTCGCCTCGCAATATTAGGGTTCATGTTTTGTAATTGCCAATACCTAAGGGTTGGTCTTGCCAAAGTCTCGAGACTTTGTGATCACAGGTCCTTTTCGGCTCAAACGACTAAAACGACCTTAAATCTCCTAATAATGAGAGGGTTAGTAAGGGTCGGGTCTTAATAGTGAGAGTTTTGGTGAGGGTTAGGGTTAAAGGTTTAGGGATCGAGCCAAAATGAAATAAAAATCATTTTTCCTTAAAAGAATTCCCCGAAATCTTTGTAAAATGGTATCGAGACGTTGCATATTTAACTTTACATGGTCTCGTCTTGCTCAAAGTCTCGAGACGAAGTCTCGTCAGGCTTTGTCTCATGCATTCTGTATAAAGAGCGCGCCGGAGTAAATATTATACTCGAGTTGTCCTTTATTTTGTTCTGGGCGCGGGTGTTAACAACCCGGTGCACCAGTAATAATAGTCTTAGGACTGCATACAATCAGTGGGCTACTAACAGCAATAAGCTTGTGTTCCACGGTAGGTTATGATGTGTCGACACCTTGTCTAATCTATGCAGTATGTACACCCACAGGAAATAAGTGACGAAACAACGAGTGAACACAAACGCGGTTAAAGAACAACCATGACTTTTTGAAGGGAGGCCGTACAAGGCGTCAAATATACTTTAGAGGCCGCACTATATACGCTCTTTTTCATTTTATAGATCAAGTACTTCTCGTCATTGGGGTTGGTGTTAAGTGCAGGCGTTTCCTCACTTTTTTCCAGTGGGTGTACATAGAACACAATTTGTCTCCTTCCGTAATTTTCTCATCACTGAGTTTTCTGGTGGGTGGGAGAGTATTCCTTGATAATTGAATATTGGTGGATTCAGAAACAAAACGATATTTGTCTTCATCTGCTCCCAAGCACGTAAATCAATCAATGGGGAGTTTAATTGATCGTCTTGTCTTAGGGTTTTGGTTTATCTATTCTGTTTGCTGATGCCTGTCTATGCTTGGTCGCGAGACCAACGGTATCTTATCCTCGGGGGCTTACTCCTTTGTACCATACTTTGTTCTTGGGGGTTCGCGAGTCTATGACAACTTATATCTATATTCCGACTCGACTTACGCATGAGGCGGCTCATGATATTGGGGAGGTGTATTTATGCACTACACCGTACTATATACGTGTAGCTTGTGATCCGTCAAGAATTACGTACTTTAGCTATCTTTCTATAAATATAGACTGCAAGGCTGCGATCAGGTGAGGATATATTGAGTCTATGAGATTGCCAATGACAGGCTATCGGTGCACTGACTGATGCCTGGTGGGACTACCCTATCACTACCCCCTGCACATAACAAAATGAATCTCCGGGTGATGACTGAAGAAGACAGACTCAAACATTGTAATGACTGGATCGGAGGCGCAATCTTCCGGGGTAATTATTCCAAAGAGAGGCTACCCAGGAGAGCGTTCTGTGTAAATGTGCTGTCACATGCGAAATGATCCTTGATCCTCCGCTATCTCCAAGTACTTTGAAAACGAGGAACTGATGTCTGCAGATCTTACTACTATCTTTATCATTCGTAATTATATGTTATCACATTTATTTCATAATACTGGCGCATACGCATCGTAAGTTCAATCGAGTGATGCTGCATGATGGGAATTTACCCCGCCACCAGATGCATCTTCTGACCCTCCAAGTTCTCTACTTTTCCTGTTCCAACCGGATCTGTCGTGATACTGTAGATGGGACTGACACTCTTCCCTCGGTAGACATTCTCACCCATATCCCATGGAGAAGCAAGGGCCTATCAGCACGCCCACCTTCACGATGTTCCTTCTGTCCCCAGCAGGGTCACATGCCAAATCGCTTTCAATTTCAGCAGAGCATATGAGTATCGCTACAAGTACATTATTATGTTCTCCCCACAAAGGTATGAAGTGAAAAGTAGAAAAGAAAGAGGTGAACATGTTTTCGGAGATGCCACTAACGTAGTTCAAGGCAATACTAGCAATATTGGTAGTTTTTCTGAGTTAATTGTGAAAGCGTGAGGATTGTAGTTACGGAAGGAAAGATGATTGTATTACTTAATTAAGTAGTGTTAATGTCGGCTTCTCGGAGTTCGAGCATCCAAACGTCAGTAGTACATACGTAGGTTGAGAGCAGGATCACTTGATGATATCGGAGGATACGAGAACAAGCCTGAATAATGTCAAAGACCAACGATAGTAGCTGGGATGAGAAGGGGCAGGGTCTATACTAATGTATCGGCCAGGTCCCATGGTACAATATTTTAGGTGTGGGGGTAAATTATCCATGCGGGGATGATAATTAACCCCAAAAATGTTAAAGATCGACCTGTTTTCGGAACTTGTGTTTATTTATCCCACTATGCTGATATATTCCAGGTTATCCAATATATTCGAGAGTTATCCTCCAGTGAATTTGATTAGCCTTTGAGGGTGATAATTTATCTGTTCTGATATTTTAGGACTGTCCAAAAAGGGATAGAACAAGCGGGGGTGACAAAAATAGAGATACTCACCGCTTGGGAATGATGTCTATCAGATGACAGGTAAAAGAAAGATAGCTATCTCTTATATAAGATGATCACCTCCTGTTCGAGGTAACTGCTCTGATAGCTTACTTTCTCAGGTTAGAAACTATTAATAAAATAAAGAAAATGATAGTATAAGTGATTAGACTCTGAGTAATAGCTCAAGATGATCGAGGTTCGAACTCCCAGAACTTTATTTTTTTATTAATTGTCCCAGCATCTCATGATACCTTATGAATTTATGCAGGTATCTTACCGCCCATTCAGGGCAATTCTTTCTCAGGTTATTCTGATAAAATGGATAAACAGGATACTCCTCACGGATATCCCCTTCGCCTTAAAAGTTACCAGCTATTACAGGTAAATTATCTTGACAAAATTGTTCCTTAGAGCAGGAAGCAAACTCAAAAAAAGTCTCCCAAGGTAAATCCATACAAATCTAGTGAAATTAATTAGAGTACCGCTGTACAGAAGCTTAATAACTACAACAAAACCCGTCCCCCTATGTTACAATTGTTTTGATGTAAACGGGATAAGTTATCACCCGTGAGGAGGATAAACAGGAACCTGGATTTCTGCTTTGGGATGTAAAAGATAAGTAACGGCCATATCAGGATATCATATGCTATTTGAGGATATTTTAAGCTCAAAGTAGTCTAGCTCAATACTTTTTATATTCAAGATTATACATCATTTGTATATCATTTCTAGTAGGATAAAGTGAGATTATGATATTGAATTTCATTGTAGAGTTTCTCCTCCCCACCGAATTATTCCTAAATTCATCAAACAGCATCCAATTCCATCAACAGCATCTTTAGTTCATCTCCTTCAGTGATGAGCTTGTAACAGTTAGGAAATACAATTGTTTAAAGGATAACATGCACATGAGTCTGGTGAAAGCGGGTATGGCCAAGCTATACCAAACCCATACCGCCTCTATATGATACCGATCATGATGATGGTGATCATGATGGTGATACATGAGCATGATAATGCCTACATGTAGGCATTCGGAACTTACACGTTTTCACAGTTGTGCCTACTAGTACTGTCATACAAGTGTCACGCAGGGTGTGCAATCCCCGCACTACTGTCACATAGCTGTGCCATCCCCGCCATCCTGGCCACCTCCCGCGGCCTCTTGCAGCTTCTTGCGGCCTCCTGCCGCTTTCCCACTAGTAGATATCTTTTCTCAAGGACTAGAGGTTCCCCGTGTATTACCACCCAGAGCTATTGACTGTGAATATAATTGTATCAATTGACGATCTATTACAGAAAAAAAGAGAGAGAGCAAGCTGACAGGACAGGAGCTATCTTCTGACTACACAAAGGTTCCGGAATCTGAGAGAACTCCATGACCACAGACTTGAGATGACAGCGGGGTAACAGGAATTTACTAAATTCCACCACACAATAAGCAAAAACACGCTTTAGGAGAATTACAGTCGAGACTCTCCTCATTTCAGAGTGCTCTCTCCACCTCTTTGTTTTCGTTCTCCTCGTTTCCCTCGTTCCTGTCATTTCCCTCGTTCCTGCCATTTCCCTCGTTCTTCTAATCCCCCTCGTTTTTCTCAGTTGGCTTATATCCTTCATTCACACCATTCACACCATTCACATCATTCACCTCATTTACTTCTCCCACGTCATTTCCCCCGTTCATTTCATTTTCCTCGTTTAATTCCTTTCCCTCATTTATTTCGTTTTCTCCATTTGCTCTATTTGCTTCGTTGGCCTCACTTGCCTCGTTCGCCTTGGCCAGCAATGATAACATTCTTTCATTCTCCTCCATCAGCTCCTCATCATTCAGCCGTCTCATCTCGAGCTCATCCTGCACCGCCCTCAACAGCTGTGAGCGCTGCGTGTTCCTCGACTTCAAATTCGCAATCTCGTAACCCTTGGACTTGATATCCATCCTCGCCGTTGCCAGCTCCGACGTGAACTCCTTCCTCGTCCTTTCCAGCTCCGAAGCCAACTCCATGTTCCTGGACTGCTGGTCCTTCTTCTCCGCGTCTGCCGCATCGTGCCCGTCCATTGCGGCCAACAGCCTGATTGCCATCTGCGACAAGCTCTCCTTCGCCGCCCCGGCTTCGGATGTCTGTCTCCTCAGCTTCCCCTTCAGTTCAGCCACGTATTTCGATAGCGACGCGCTTTCGTAGTTGAGCCACCGATATCCCGCGTTCTCCGCCCCCGCCTCCCCGTTCGCCGCACCCGCGCCCGCGCCCGCACCCGCGCCCTCTCTATCCGCACCCAACAGGCCCGGAGCAGCCCGGAGTCCATCTACATCCGCCACCACGGTCGCAACCCTCCCCGCCGCCCGCAGACACACCAACTCCTCTTCAATGCGCGCCACCTTCCTCTTCAGCTCCTCATTCTCCTCCGCCCACCCCTCCACATGCAGCTCCCACACCCCCAGGTCCTCCGCCACGCCCCCATCCTGCTCCGCCAGCTCCCCCCGCTTCTGCAAAACACGCCGCCTTGCCTTCTCTGCTGCACGGCGCCCACTGCGGCACTGCACCAGCTCCTCTTTCTCCGCCGTCAGCCGGGTGTTCTCGGCGCTGAGGCGCGCGACCTGCTGTCTGAGGTGTGTGTTCTCGGCGCTGATACGCGTGTTCTCGAGGGTGAGGGTGAGGCGGGCGGTCTCAGGGAGCGTTGGGCAGCTTAGTGTGCCGGCGGGGGAGGAGAAGGGGGAGGTGCGGGCGCGTTGTTTGATGCGCATTGTGCTGTCTGTGTAGCTGGAGAGCTACAGGGAGCGGAAGGTGTCGATACGAGATGTGGTCTTTTATCGGTGCGTGGGCACTGAGTAATCGGGGGCTGAAGTGGGAACCCTAACCCTTCTGTTCATGTGGGGGGCAGAGTCATTGATGCTTGGGGCGTGGGGGTTTTGTCAGAGTGGATTGGACTGTTGAAATGCGCTTTTGAAGAGGGGTTGGGCTCTGGACCGTGGTGTTTGGAGACTGCCTGCTGAAGGCGGCGTATCATCCAAGAGGCCAATTAACCTAGGGTTGATCATCCATATCACTGATGTCATTGACATTGCCGGGCGACTTCGTTGTTTCAAACAAGGTATTTCGGTGTTGCAAGATTGAAACATCCTGTTGGAAAATATCAAATTCCAAGAAATAATTAGACGTCCGGGGGGGAATTGTCCCTCGGCTGGTTTGGGCCGGCCGTTGGGGAATAATGAGCTTTCACGAATGGACTCGTACCATTCGCTGATGACCCATCGGCCGCCCAGCCCTTGGGGGAATGCTTTAGTACAATCTTTAAATTCTAGTTTGACGTTGAATTTATCAACTATCTTGATTGAGGAAAGTAAAATGATATTTTCGAAGTCAACGTAGTATTAGCTATTCTAATAATGACGATGCATGCCTTGCATTCATTAGCGAGAGCGCGTGGCTCTTAAATCGCCCCTAGAAACGTCCGACAAATCAAGTTTAAATTTTGTTATAGATTTTCAAATACTCTTCCATTATCAATGTTTACGGGAGGTTCGATCTCGGTGTTAGGCCAGGTTATTTTGCAAACTTGAAATCTCTACTTACCCAACACTATTCCTGTGTTACATAAAGGCAATATAGTGATGCGCACGAGACGAGACGAGAGGAGACTTCCGTAGGTCTCGTGATGTCTTGTATTCTGCCGACTGAGTCTTGAAAGTCTCGAGACTTTTGGTTATGTAATCACGGGGTAGGGAAATTACGGTAATTATGCTAATTACCGGAAATAAAAGTCAAGATTTTCTTTGTTTTCTTATCTAACTTTTGAGCTGGAGCGGTGATTTTGTTTGGGTGGGGAAAAAAAGTCAAAGAGGTCTCGAGACTTGTCTCGTGCCCATCACTAAGGGAATATTAACACAGAGGATGTAACGTCGAAGTACCGGAGTACGTATTCGGTTTCGGACAACAACAAAATACGGTTCGTCCCACTGTGTGTGAACTCGCATCAAAGATTGTAAATTATAACGTGCGAGACATAATTCAGAATCGGCTCATAGGGTTAAAATAGAGGGCTTATCTCAAAAAGGAGAGTATCTTAACCCGCTCACACCACACGCGGCAATATCCAATCGGAAAAATGAAGCCCACAGGCGCCCTTTTGTGGATTGAATGATCGAGTGATATTTCATGACTCGTCCACGCGCATGCGCGACTATCCCTTGGACCGGTGAGACATGCAGATTCCCCGCCTTCCGTTCTTAGGAGGTATACGCGGTGGCTCAGTGACTTCGCCATAGTAAAGCCACAAAGGCGAAGTCACTTAGCCACTGCTTCTACCTCCCGTATCAGGAAGGCGGGCAATCTGCATGTCTCACCGGTCCAAGGGATAGGTAATTGATCACTACAGTCGCTCACCTAGTGACGGCGGATCCTGTCTGATGGTTGTGTTTGCGGTAATTTCCCCTTGGCGTCCCAAAGTTAACTCTGTTATTGGCCTCAAATCCCTGACCGCCATCAGACAGGATCCGCCTTCACCCCGTGAGTGACTGTACATGTTGTCATATAGAAACCAACGCCTTGAATTCGGAATGAGATACTTATTTGTAATCAGAGCTCCTGTTTATCATGATTCATGGAATTGCGGAGGCCTTAACTACTAGTGCTGTACAACCAATACCGTCAGTAAACTAGCGAGCCTTTTTACAGATGTTTTTACGCATCATCTCTCACGGTATCGATTACTACTAAATTTAAACGAGATATTGGAGAGGGGATGATGGCGCTCTATTGTCTTGATCTTCTTGCTTTTGGTCGTACCCTTCAGGGGTAGCAAAGCCATTTTTATAAGCTCCGGGTCAGTGGTCGTGAAGCCGCTGGTGGGTTACGCAGAAATCGTTGCTATGGGAACACGGTGACGAAGATTTCCAAAACCACCAATTTAACAGCCCCGTACTCATGCTGGATAGGAAAGTCCGGAAGGACTTTGGAAAACTACAATCTCACAGGCGCGCCTGCGACATTCAAATCATCTAAAGAAAAAGAAAAAACGGTACTACGAAAGGTCTTTGCCAGTCCCCGGCTGATTATAAAATCTTCGTTGATATTGTGTAAGACATATGAAAGAATAATGCAGCTATGTAGAGCGATCAACCAGCTGATCGATCGAATGGATAGACAGTGAGGTTAATATAAATAAAGATGGGACAAGCATCAAGCTAAAAGGAAATATGAATGATATGATGCAAAGAAATGCGGGACAATAGTAATGGTTGTAGAAAGGAAAGAGAAGACCCCTAAAATTGTGACGGCAGTCAAGCTTCATGGAAAGCTTAACCTCCGAGAGTATGATAAGACCCAAGAAAAAGTGTGGTAGAGATAGCAATGTGGAGGAGGAAATACAAGGAAGGAAACAAAGAAAATAGATAGGTAAAGGAGATGCGCCTCGATTCTCAAGGATTGAAAGTGGACATGCCATAGGTGTTACGAAGACTTAATCAAGTGAGTGAGGGGGGACAAAAATGAGAAAAATTACTTGGTTTCTGGACTCTCAACAAACACCTTTCCCTGTGCCCTAGCGGATGCTTGCAAGGCACGCCGTAATGAGCTGTTCTGCCTCTGAAGCTTCGATCTCTCTTCGGTGGCACTCCTGAGCTCGGTAGACACGACCTCTAGCTGTCTTGATTTCTCTCCCATGAGCGCCAACTTTGACCGTGATGACAGGTAGCTGGCTATGGTTTTCTTCTTTTCTATGGTAAGATCATCCTGAAGAGTGGCCTTTTGATGCTCAAGCTCAGAATTCGAGGAGGACAACCTGTTGCATTCAATTCGTAGGCGACCCTGCTCTGACATCATAGCCTCGATTTCCCCATCCTTTGCAGCAGCCTCTTCCACCAGTCGTCTAATATTTGCTTCAAGGCCTTCTGTTTCTGCCTGCGCCATATCAAGACTATTGTTTACTGAATTTAACTGTGTCTTGACAGCAACAAAATCTTTGGCAAGTGCGTGACTCTCCCCGTGGAGAATCTTCGTCTGCTCTTTCAAGGATTCGGAATCTTGCATCGCAGCCCTTAGTTCGCGCTTCAGCTGGTTGTTGTTGTCTCGGATCAACTCCTCATTAAGATCAGCCTTCATGAGTCTATTGTGTAGGTCCAAGATGAGGTTATTTTTGTGGTCCCAGATCTGCTCGAGCTTCCTCATCACCGAACCTGACCTCATACTAGCAGCTACCAGCCCTTGACCTGAATTAAGGCCACTTAGAATCTTCATCCCCACCTGTGACGTTTCTAGTTCCTCACTCAGCGTTGTAGGTCTTTTACCCGCTCGAATTCTCTCCATATCCCTCTCCGAGATGCACTTCTCAGCAGCCGGCAAGCTAAAATCCATGACCCCCAGATTCTCTGTCTGCATCTTCGATGCCTGTACCTCTGCTCTCAACACTGCCATCTCCTCACCAGCTCGGATCTCGTCCATCTCCATCTCAGAAACACGATCCTTCATTGCCACATTCAGTCTCGATGCAGCCTCCAACTCTTCCGCCATTCGTGTATTCGCAGACTGCAGTTCTACACTGCCCGCCTCCGCCATCTGCAGCTCCTCCCTCAACTTCACCAGCTCTCCTCGAACCTCAACAAACTCCTCATCTACGCGAATACACCTCATATCTAGCTCTTGATTCTCACCCACCAGTCTCGCCACCTCCGCCCTCAAAACACCCAACTCATGCCGAACCGTCCTAAGCTCCTCCGCAACGCTCTCTCTCTGCACATGCACACTCGCGAGCTCGCCCTTCACCGTAGCTAAGTCAGACTTCGCCAACGCCAGCCCCTCCGCCGATTGTCCAACCCGCTCGGTCTCCTGCGCTAGACGACTGTTCTCCGCATTCAGCCGCGCAATCTCCATCGTCAATCGAACGTTCTCGCTAGTTAGGCGCGCCGTCTCCGTCTCTGCCGCTTCCACCATGTTCACGGTGCCCACCGTGCTGGCGTCTTTTCGTTTCGTCTGTTTGTTCCGCATTGCGAGCGTTGAAGATGGATTGATGGTGAAGATACCTATCCACAAGATGATTACCCTTATATGCACGCTATTTCTCCGCTTTGAGCAACCGTCCCAAGCGCCGGCCAACGTGTTTGCTTCTTTAGAGTAATCATACGTGTGTGTGTGGGAGGCCTGAATGTTTGTGTAACCCTAGCTCTGGCTGCTGATTTGATGGCGGATCAAAGTGCAAACAGAGCTCTGGGAGGGTGTTAAGGGGGATGTGAAAGAGTTTGAGATCGAGTCTGTAATCCTGGAAATATCTAGTTCCGGGATGGGAGCTGTCGTATCTCATAAACTGTCCTCGAGAAAGGTCGACGGAAATGACAACACAAGAGAGGAGCCTTACTTCCCGACGGGACTTCAGAGTTGACTCAAGAGGCTATGGTGGGATCCGCCTTGGCGGGTAGGTGCGCCAACTTGTATCCGGAATCCCCACTGGTTAATTGAGGCTCTTCAAAAAAGGCCTATCGCCACTCAAGTTGACACACCTAACTACCCACCAAGGCGAATCCCACCCACCTTACTGGGATTCTCGGGAAGCTGCATTGCTAAATATAGACGCTCGTGCCGCATTCAATAACCGCCTGATAGCGTGTAAACTCGATATTGATCAGTCAGTAAGCGCCCTCAAGTGTTGCCTAGAGGTCGATATTAATTCATATCAGTGCAATATGAGTCTTTAGGTAGATAACAGTACCCTTGTTGCGCGCGTGAGGGGTTTGGTGAATGATAAGCATTTTAGTCCATCCCTGTACTTGTAATCCATTAATCGGCCATATTTCTTCCACGTAAAATGGTGGCTTCTGCAGCAGAAATATGGCCGAATTATGGTTATGGGGACTAAAATGCTCTATTGATAATTTATACTGCGATTTCATGGAGGTCGGAATATAATAACTGGCCAACCCTGAACACTAGCTAACCCTAACCCTGACAAGGTGGGAGTGAATTTCTTTTTTTTGTTTACCTCATTGATTTTATGTAGAGATGGGATGATGGCTGGCCTCGGCATCAAGTATCACATCTAAAGCTATCATGTCAGGTGTCTATGGGCGGATTGTTCCTCCTGAGTGCGTATAAAAGACTACCGAAAATTCTAGGGAATAGCTCAGGCTGGAGCTCTTGAGGTCACATATTTATGTCAACTAGTGTGGCACTCATCTCTCACACAAGAAATTTTAACCCCCTAAACTGGGAAATACTCGTTTAGAGCTACGCGGGGGGCACGTGATCTCTAACTTAGTCAAGGGCTCGTCCTTTTGATTTACATACTCGGGGATTCCATAATACTATCCTTTCCTACCTGGATCTTTCACCCCCGGTCTTCGTATACATCACCCATATATATTCTCGGGAGATATTGTTGAAACGGGGAAAAGGGCGGTCCTGAATGTAGAGGTAATTGCGGTCAATAAAGGATCTTTAGGGTATGTCGAGTGATTCACAGTGAATCACTCGGTCTACAAATGCCTTAAGATTTCGCTCGACAAGTCATATCAAGATGACTGATCAATAGATTCATTAATAGATGCGTTGACTATAGCAACAATTATTATTGGGAACTTCTGGAAGAATTCTCCTTGCTGGTTGCTAAGGTATGTAATCACATACTGACATGCAACATAGCTTCCAAAACACCCCCTCTCTAATCTGGCTTGACGATCCATCGGCTGACTCGGCCATTGATAGTTAACCCTAACCCATAGTGTCTGACGCATTACGGAATTGTCCCAAATGTTCGTTGAAGAATGCCGCCTACATGTCAAAGTATCGCCAAAACTCCAAAATTGGCTATCTCCGCCCAGGGAATACCATTCGAGTGTTTGGTTGAATAATTGATCTGCGTCGGAAGTATCCCAAAGAAGTAATTTCGATCTAGCAAAAGTTGTAGTAATAAGAATCTGAGATATATTTATAGCGTTGGAGCTAGTATAATTTCTAGTAGCTCAAGATTATTAAGGTAGTATAGCCTGCTGATACACCGCTGATGGAATACCTATTCAAGTCCTCTGACCAGTGGCATTGTCCTAAGCGTGGATTGGCTGTCCTGGCACATAGCTGATTTCATACAACGAGCTATGGAAAGATAGACAGCCAATGCTTAAAGACGGCACCCTGCAGGAGTGGGGGTGATTGCTCCACGGTCATAAGTCTATGTATATACGAGCTGCATATAACATACAGTCGCACCTCGCTATCTCGTAATTCGACATCTCGTACGGATTTGGGGGATAGGTACTGCTCTTATCCACCAACAACCATTTGCTCTCTCGTATATTTGCTATCCCGTAGGGTTTTGACTCCCAGAATACGTGAACGACATAACGAGGTGCGACTGTACCCTACCCGCCTTCGGAATTTTGGTGGTGCTTACACGCACCGTTATCTAGCTTATCATACGGGAAGTAGCATTGATCTTGCCTTCGCTTGGCGGATGCATATGCATGCACTGTTTGCTTGCGGCACGGGAAAACACAGCAAACAAGGTTCAGGCAACCCACACACGCATGATAAGGCATCCCATAATGGTAATCCATCATGATACACCTCCCCCGAGATACTGGTAATACACATTTTCCTCAAACAATCAACAATTGCAATAAGGAAGTAAATGCACTTCATCCTTTGCACCAGCTTCCACTTACTCAAAAATCACCGAAATATCAGCTACAACTCACTCAAAAATCTCCGAAATCACAGCCATGTCGGCGGCATACAAAAAAAGAAGATCTCTTCCGAAGGACTTTGTATCCCTCATCTTCAACAAAGAGCAAATCACCTTGTCGGACTGCATCCCTGTATTCGTTGAACTGGAGCGTAATCCTGAGTCCTTATCCCGCTTATTCTCTGACGAAGAAATTCTTTTGCAGCTTTTATCCAACTTTGAACACTATGCCTCAAGAATCTCAAGGTTTTTCACAATGTTCAAAAGGCATTCAGTGAACCATCCAATCGATACAACGCGTCAGAAGCCCTGGCTAGGGTCCGCTTTTGCAAATGAGCTCACCGAGCGCATTCTTCTACCATTGCTTGGTGTTGATTTTAGCCAGTTTACGTTATCAAACAATTTCCTGGACGCATTCGGCGCTGTTCTAGAGTGCTGCCTCCCGCACAGTCCCCGATCGTTTGAGAGGCTAGTTGGACGATTATTCAAAGAAAAACTTGTCTTTGCGGCGTTGATCTCCGGAAAGACAACTGGTGGAATCATGAAGCAGTGGACTTCATTGTTCCCCGATGTGATCTACGACTATCATACTCTTAGCGCATGGACGAGGAGGCTCGTAGAGCTGTGCGATACCTGTATGGGGAACCACGATATTGATGAACCAAAGAATCGCTGGCAGTCACTGGACATTCTTCTTCCCCGGTTAATTCGGGCTCTGAGGAATCATCCACGACCAACACCAGATATTCCATGGAAATTAAGGCTAGATCCAGATCTGGTCCTCGAATTACAGCATCTCGGGATCTCGCCACCCACATCGGAGCATGCTCTGGAAGCGGCTATCTTCACATTGGAGAGAGATGAAACTGTACGTATGTTCAAGGCAGCTACTGAGTCTTTTCCTTGCCGGTACTGTTATGAGTCCTCGACGGGGAGGGAATCAGCAGAACTTGAACTGGAGCAGCGAGAAACTTGTCTCAGTCTTGACTTTGGGCACTTTGGGGATCTTCTTGGGTCTGTGGTAGGCCTGTGGCGAGTGCTAGCCTCCGGGGAGGCCTTGGAAGATATGCAACAGGCATACGAAGAAGGTTTGTACAAATCCCTTACTCCGTTATCTTGGTCAATGCCAATCTTTTACGCTATAAAGGTTCATTTGACATGGTCGAACGTGTCATCATCCAGCTGGCCTCAGGTGTGTGGGAGGATCCTCCGATCCGCGAGCGGCTGGGGGGAGTGAATAGTCATCTGTACCTGGCGCGATATGGGCAAGATAAAAAGCGCGGTATACTCTGGCAGTTGGACGTCGAGTTTGACGAAGCTGCAGGGGCACTGTTGCAACTGGTCAGAAGTAAGGTCTTTTCGTTCTTCCCTGAACAGATCCGGTTCTAACCTTTTATCTCAAAGTTTGGAGGATCGGAGAAATTGGAACAGTTAGTATAATCCTTCAGCCAGCAATGCAATGCAAATATAGGCTTTCCGATTGGCAGCTCACAAGCGCTGGTTTATATTTTAGATTGAGCAAGCGGAACCTCATATCCGTCTGATACACAAAACATTCTCTGAGGTCCGCCTCGACGCACAGAAACAGTTTTCAGTGGACCAAGTCAGCGGAATAGCATATCCGAACTCCTACGGGAAAGATAGTGATACCTTGACAGGTACCTTTGAGCTCGACGACAAGTCCCAAAAACAGCTGGGTGAAAGCCTTCTGAGATTTAGTAAGTATACCTTTATTTCTTATATAATTGCTCTTACGATTGTGTAATTCAAATCAAATGAGATACTTACATTCTCCGTCTTCCTCTAGACAGGTTTTACAGCGTTACCCAAACTACATTCAGCAATGTTCGCGTTGAGAATCTCACCGCCGAGTACCCTCTGAGTCTCGCTAAAGAAGAGCTGGCAGTTGTAAAGGATACCTTGAACTCCACGCTAATCCAGGGTAGGAGTGGCACGGGGAAAACAACCTGCCTTGTGTATAAGTTGTTTGGGCGTTATCTTGCTTCAAAGAATCTTGATGCCAGGAATTCGCCCCGTCAGGTAATCTTGTATACCAATATCCTGGATCTGCACGTTTCTAACCCCTGGTTTAGGTGTTACTCACGCGGTCCCACGTCCTTTCGAACAAACTGAAGGACTATACCAAGCGGTTGATTGCGACACATGATTCAGAACCTAAGTCTACTGGGGGAGGAAGTGATGCGCTCAACTACATGCTCGGTGACGACGAGAGAGAAGTGAACCACACAATCTTTACAATGCTTGCAGATGATTTCCCTCTAGTCTGTACATTCAACCATTTTCTCAAGCTCTTGGAAAATACTCTGAGGTACATCCCTTGATTCTAATACATGGGAGCGTATCAATTGACAGAGGATTAGGGCTTCAGACAGACAAGACTTCTCATTTTATCCCAACCCAGGCGGCCCCATGAGTGATGTTCTTTCCAAGAATGCGCCTGGCCGTAGGCGTCTATACCGAAAGAGCCAGGTAGTCGACTTTGAAGTGTTTAGCGAACAATACTGGGAACAGTTCCCAGCCAACTTGACAAAGGGGGTATCGCCTACGCTGGCGTTCATGGAGATCATTGGCGTCATCAAGGGCTCCGCATGTCGTTCGATCGACTTCCAACCCCTAACACGCGAGAGATATATCCAGGAGGGACATAAGATTTCACCAATTGACTTGGATAGAGATCTGATGTACAACATCTACTTACGCTACGAGAAGGTCAAAAGGGATCACGGAGACATTGACGACATTGATCGGGCAAGAGATGTCCTCAACGGAATGGTCAAGAACCGGGATGTCAGGAATAGGGTAGAACAAGCGTTCGATGAGATTTATATTGATGGTGAGCCCATTTTCCTTTATATAAATACCTAAACTATAACTAACCATTTATTACTTTTGTGCTCAGAGATTCAAGACCAAAGACTCCTCGAGATTATGATGCTGTTGCATTTGGTCAAGAGCCCCAATGCCGTACATTTTGGTATGGGTATTCACCCTTGCTATTGAAGTAATTAAACTGACAGGACATACTTAAGCCGGCGATACCGCACAGTCGATCTCCAAAGATTCCGTCTTCCGTTTCGAAAATGTTAAGGATCTCCTCTACACGCGCTTTTCCTCTGGGAAGAAAGTCACACCACATGTGCACAAACTATACAAAAACTACCGCACACATCAAGGCATCCTTAACGTCGCAACATCTGTCATGAGGCTATTGTATAGTAGTATGTTGCTGTTTCCCCCCAGTCGAAGGTTAAATCTAAACTCTATAGGCTTTCCGGACATGGTGGATCGCATGGAAGATGAAGAGGGACAGTTTTCTGGGCCGAAGCCCGTAATGTTCAGTGAGTAATACCTCTAGTCGTACTATCACAGTGACTAACGAAACAAGCTGGCATTGGCTCTGAGGTTCTCTCGAGTAACATGTTTGGTGCTACTAACCTAGATGCGAATCCCGCTCAGTTCGGCGCAGACCAGGTCATAATTGTCCGGGACAAGGCGCAGCAGGAGAAAGTACGTAAGGAGATTGGTGATTTTGCTTTAGTATTGACTGTCCTCGATAGTAAGGGAATGGAGTTTGAGGATGTGTTGCTGTTGGATTTCTTTAGCACGAGCAAATGTTTATCTGCGTGGCGTGCTGCTCAATCCGGAGATTTTAATTCGATCAAACACCTGGTAAGTACTTCAAGAAAGATTTATTTAATGATGAGGCACTGATATATCCATACCTGGTCCTAGGCGTTCTGCTCAGAGTTGAAGGTAAGTTCACAGATACTTGACATCCTGAACATTAACTGATATATCGAAGCAACTTTACGTGGCCATAACTAGGGCACAGTACAGACTTTGGTTCTTCGAGAGCAACTCAGCAAGTGTGAAGGACATACTCACACTCTGGGCACCTGACATTGAGGTAGTTCAGGAGAGTGATAGTAATGTAGGATAGGCATCATTCCAGAGTGATATCTGTTTGAACCAATAACTAATAATAGTAGAAACGCGAGAAGCTGGCACAACTGCGTCCGGGAAAGAACGCTAACCCAGAAATATGGTCACGCAGAGGATACCAATTTATCGAGAACAAGAACTATGAGAGCGTTCGCTGTCCTTATTTCTCAAACTCTAGATAGTACCTATCTAACATCGTTTACTATAGGCGCTCCTGTGTTTTAGGCGAGCAGATGACAGGAAGGGGACTAAGTTAACAAGAGCGTTGATTGCTGAGAGAAAGGCCAAGTCGCATTTAGCCCGCGGGAATGAAGAAACATCCGAGGAACATTTCCGGGAGGCAGCAAAGTTGTTTCAGGAGTGCGGGCAAGTACTTCGTGAAGCCAGCTGTTATGAAGCGCTGGGGGAGTTTGAAAATGCAGGTGGTGAGTAGTGTAAATCCCCACGTTATGTATGGCTACTAATGCATTAGGTAGATATTTTTGCGACGCATGGGGAGTTTTTGCGAGCTGCCGACCTATATATCAGAGCCGAACTGTTTGAGCAGGGGGCAGACTGTTTTGTCCTCGCTGGATGTCATAATGATGGTGCTGCAGTTCTAGCGAGGGGCCAGAGATTTGACAGTCTGGTCAAATATCTGGACAGGTATGCAGTGAAATTCATGTCAGACGTTACAGAAATAACACTAACAATCACCAACAGACACGGCATGAACCTGAGCACCGCATGTCAGCGCCATTATTCCAGGCTTTGTATTCTGCTTGTCCGGCGTGGCAAGATATCACTCGAGCTAAGAGAAACCGCTGCCTCCACCCTAAATGACCTGGATAAAGAAGAGTTCTTTAAAGAATATGAAATGAATGAGCAGTTGTTGAAGCTTTTGTTGCGGCAATGCCGATTTACTGATGCCTGGAGTCATGCAGTCGCATTTGGGGACCTTCCAGAAGCTTGGAGAATGGATGAAGAACGTCGAGGAATGGCTCAACTCCCACGAGAAGACAGGATCGAAGTGTACAATTATGGACAAGTCAAAGCCTTACACGAGAGTCTCTCACCCTGCGCTAGTGAACTTTTCATACCGAATCGTCTGGAACCTCCAAACCGCAATTGGTTGTCAGACGTCCCATCCATAGCTGTGTTCTGGAGAGATTTACCTCAACAACTTGACGGGTTTTGGAAACATCAGATGACCTATGAGGGCCTCAAGTTTGCTGAACAATGGATGAAAGAGGTTTTTGATCTAATTGTGGATACTCCTAACCCACACATAGTAGTTCTTTGCTAATAACAGCCAGGTTACCATTAAAGCCCATGCGTTCATTCACTCGGCAACTTCCTTCACTGAATTACCGGTGGAGTCAATAGCTACGGCGGTCAACCTGACAAAAGAACTAGTGCTTAATTCGAATATTCCGATGAGTCTCTTTACTCTCTTGGGGGTCGTTCCTTGTCGCAAGCAAGCCGATCGATTAGTAGTTCTTCAGTCATCGCTACTATATGACGACGACAGTAGCTTTATTGGCCAGAAGTCCAGAGTTCTAGTAGCGCAGGCTATTACCAAGTGGATAATTAACTATGTATGCCGAGCAGTGAGTGAGCTGTGTGATACTTCAAGAAAACTTCATTATAGCAGTAGACCTTGTCTTACCTTCCAGTACCGAGGTTAGTGTTCAATACAATCTTTATTGCCTAGCTAATATAATGCCGTAAAGGATTTCACAACCATCCCGAATGCAAATTGCTCCACAGGCGTCCTATGAAGGAATCAGAGTATCTATCTACGACAAAGGTCCCCGTCCAATGGTGTGAGTTTCAGTTCTACGCTAACTCTATTTCAGCATTTTCTTTATATTGCTTCTATCGTTTACCGTCTTCTCCCTCTGTATTACCGCAGGTTCAACAACCTAGCTCCTTTGTCATTTTTGAGAGAATTTCGTGGAAATCGTAATTACTACTATTATACCCTTCTTTTACAGCAGTAAACTAATGGTTTGATCATAGAGCGATGGTCTATGGAGCGTCTGCTGGCCCAGATAACATATAAATCGTCCGTAGAACAATCGCCAGAGACATTGACGAGAATATGGAATGAGATCGCGGAACCAAACAGTTTCCACGTCGGTGTTTTCGGAGGATTATGCGAGTTACTATTCTTTCGTCTTGAAAATAATATGAATACGATATCCGACCTCTCTTCGATGCTTGAACAGCTTCAGATTGCACAGAACCTTGGTTAGTCTACATTCACTCACGTTTGCACATAGTCACTAAAACGTCTATCAGATTCGCGGGCAAATTTCGAGCGCAGTTTAGATCGCTCTGTTTGGAGAGATGAAAAGGCGTTGAAGTGTTGGCGGACTTTGCAAACAATCGCCAACAGTCTCCGTTTTGGTGTAGGGCATAAATCAATCGGTGCTCTAGATGAAATGATACGAAACGCAGAGTCGATTGATCTCCACGCATATCACTCCATTATCGCACTTTATGAAAAGTGGGCGACGTACCTGGTACGTATTTAACTAATTTCTCATCGACAATGAGTGGTTCCTTTAAGCTGACATCTCCGCTGAAAGATATACCAAAGCAACCCCGGCGATGTGGTATTACCTCGAGCCTGGATCTCACTGTACAGACAGATGCTACTGCAAAATCAAACTTCAAACATAGACGTTATTACTCGCCATCGTCAGGATCTACTCCTACTCGCCGAAAGTTTCTGTTTCCTCGTAGAAAAGATCAGCTATGACGAGGAACCTTTTCAGCATAAGGTTTTAGGGAAAATCAGAGCGAAGGGCCAAGGCATACATATTTTCGCTCGCCGCAATGCTCATTTCCTCGGCACTTGCGTTTTGAATACCCATTCATGGCGGGCAGTTTCCCTCAGTACGTATCTACAGTACAGGCTCACTGTGGTTGGCATCCGGATCAATCAGGTATGTATTCACCCTCCCTCGTGAGATCTTCTATTAGAGATAATTCTTCTCACCGTTGACTTGTATACAGACACACGGCCTTCCATTCGCTATGTCATCGGAGTTTAGAGACCGCGCGCCATTTAGCAACTTGTGCCGCGCGTACATAGATTCCTTTAATATCTACAGCGGAAAAGACGCCCCCCTGATTGTCACAGCTACGAAGAATGCCCCAACTTTCTTCTCTTGTCTTCAGCCCACGGTGTCGAGGGTAACATTGATGGAGTTGAGCTCTCCAGTTGTTTCGGGAGAAACCGCTACTGAAAAACCTGACTATGATGATGCTATGCACCTCCCTAAAGATTATAGCAATTTTGAAGCAGCGGTTAACACAATCCAGAAAATGTGGAGGTCCCGCTATCCAGTCATCAAGACGCGGCGAGCGTTTTTCAGCACCTCTCAAGGTGTGGCCTTGAGATTTATCGAGAGGATCTGCGGAGAGATTGTGGACATTTCTGTTATGAGCGTAGCAGAGCGAGTGCGTGTTCGATCTTTGTTGTTCACCATCGGCCTCCAGCTTCACCTATTGAGCGAAAAGGTCGACAGGATATACAAGGGGTCCAGGGATAAGGCCAAGAACATGATGAATGAAGGGAAGATGTCAAGCATCGAGCATGCACAGGTTTGGTTTGAGAGATTATTGGATTTAGAGGAGAGGATGATCGAGAACACCAGTTTCTTTTCCGAAAAGAACATGCATTCGCTCCGGCAAATCGATTCCAAGGAGCTGGAGAAGAGAATCCTGGAGGTTTATAAGCGTCTACCTCGTATCGAGCTCTCTCTGGACCTACTTAACCCAGAAACACGAAGACCAGCGGCTGCAATCATCATCCAACGTGCGTTTAGATCACAGAGACACGTGCTCAAACGGCGTCGGGACTTCCGGGCAACCGAGACGGGAAAGACGATCGCATATGTCAAACGTATTGTTGTGGCTCTCAGCATCCGTGATCCCCTTGATCGCATTGGAGAGATCGAAAGAGCCCGGGTTCTCTTCAACCACGTGGCGCAGCTGATCCAAAAGGTCAAAGAAATCGAAACCAACTACAAGAAGGCTAAAAGAGCCGTGAGGTTCCGAATAAACTGGGCCGATTCAGAGGAAAAACGGAGTGCACGTCTTCTCGCATCCCAACTCCATTATATCCGGGAGACGGTACAGAAAGAGGCGTCGTTCCTCTCGGAGGATAACTGGATGCAACTTAACATTCCGAGCAGTGAGCTGGAGGAAATGTGTACGGAAACGTGGCGGGTAATGAGGAATGTGGAGAGCTCTTTGTTTCGAATCATGGGTCAGTAAGGGTGGGCTCCAGACGGGCATTTGTTAGTGATTGGGAATTTGTACTGCCTCCAATGGTGTATATTGGAGTAACGATTGTTATCATTGTATTTTCATTATAGATTTTATGTTAATCTCATAATTATTTCAGATGTTTACTAGATCAATCTAGTCTACCATAGCCACGTACCCGCCGAAATTGATCCTTTTCCCTATAAATATATACAAATCTAGTGGATGAAAACCACACGGATTCAGAATTGGAATCAGAATTGGGAGGGTGGGTTCCACACCCTCCAACTCGGGGGCCAGTGGGAGATGTGATCATGTAACTATATATAAAGCTGAGAGCCGAGGTGAGTATGGTCCCGCCTTGGGTAGCGGACAGCAATCGGGTGATAGCGTACGCACGGGTGTTTCACACTTAGTCACTCGACCGAGTGACGACATGGTGTATCACTCGGTATATATTGCTATAGTTTCCTGCCGCTTGATTCATTGATTGGTTGGTTGGTTGGTTGGTTTGGACGCGATCGTTCCTAGTAAGTGTTATAAGTTAAGATCAAACAAGTCTTTGTGATTCGGGTGTGCATGAATATACGTGATGATCCTTGAGGAAGACTGGAACCCTACTACATGATAGAGTTAAATAACTGCGACTATTAGTGTTGTCGACGAGTTAGGCCTCCTCATGTTAACAGCTCGAACTTTGTATTGATATAGGTTAAGTAGACGTAGCATGTGGTTATAAGTTGGTGATAATGCTATGGCTGGATGGCTATACCTCATTACTAGCAGTGGCCGACCTCGCGACCGCGAGTTGTTAGTGGATGTCCGTTGCTCTTTTGAAACTTGTCTCCTCGATCCAGTGAATTGTATATCTCTCCAGGAGATGGAAGTCTATCTTCAGGACCACTCTCCCCTCCCACATTTCCCCTCCAGTGAATTGACTTCACCATACGCTCCCCCCCCCCCCCCCCACCCCAACCTCCTCTTCAGTGAATCGTCCTCCCCATAAGAATTCCTCCCATGCGTCGTTGATGATAATTTTCATATCTTGTTAATGCCATCCTTTGTATACCCCATTGATAATTACCTCCCGGCCCTATACCCCGTTAATAGTATCTCCCACCCCGTTGATGATATCTCTCCGTTGATAATAGCTGTCAATACTTCGTTTATAGAGCTAGCGCTTTGCATACACCGTTTGGGGGTTAGGGGTCATTTTTGATTTTAACGATACCTCCCCGTGCCGTTAATAATCGTACGCAATGGCCCCAGTATAGAATCTTTAAAGTTTTACTCGCAGTTGAATTTCATATACCGTTTGAGTGTGGTACTGTGTGTTGGGCGGCAGTTTGGATGGGTGAGCCCACGCAGTTAAGCCCACGCAGTTAAGGGTTAGGGTCAGGGTTTCCACTCTCAACCAACCAAAAGCCTCCGACTCGCGAAAGAATGAAGGGTAGTACATATTAGAATGAGGCGGACTCGCTGCCATGCTATAGCTAGTGGCTATGCAGGTCTCTAACGATAGTGTCGGTGGTGTCGGTGATGGTACGTGGTGTTGATGAGGGATGAAATGGTAACAGAGAGGGCTGAGACGGCAACAGCAGCGGCAATGGCAACGACCACAACGCAGTTACCAATGGCAACGGTGATGGCCATGGTAACGTCTGCAGATCTCCAACCCGCCCCAAAAAGGATATCCCAACGTGTTGGCCTCTAGCCAGGACAGTTTACACAATCACCCACACCACACACTCATGAGTTCCACCGCCTTGGCATCTTTCCGTTTCCATTCGGGCGTAATTCCACCTCCACTATCACATCCGCACCTCCACCATTACCCCTCCCGATCCACCCCCCACGTCCGCTCACCTCCTCATTCCGCTCTACTAGTGCCTTCACCTCTATACTTGCCTCGTCACTAGACCTACTCATGTCGCGCTCGCCCTACCTTCACCTCTGCTCTACTTCCCTTACTCCACGTGCACCACCACCCCTTCTGCTCAGCCTCCACCACCTATGATCCCCATCCCACACCTACCAACACCCCCACGCCTCCCACACCCCCTACCCCGTAGCCCCCACCCACTACCACCGACCCCAACACCTCCCCCATTTTACCCACAAACCGATCATTACCCCCACAAGTGAGCACCCAAGGTGCTTTAGCGCCTTGGCGCGACGAGTGATGGTTTGTGACTAACGGAGGAAAAGTTCCACCCGCTTTGTTTGGTGGGGGTGGCTTTACTAGGTGGTTCGTTGGATTGGCGGCTTTGTGGATGCTTTGGAAAAGGAGAGGGGGGGGGGGGGCTGTGGAGTTGGGGTTATGGGTTTTGGGCGGCGGGGAAGGGGGGATTGGTTGGATTGGGGCTGGGGGGGAAATAGTGGGATAGTGGGATAGCGGGATAGTGGGATAGTGGGATAGTGGGATAGTGGGTATAGAAGGGATTGAGATCGATAGTGGTAGGGTATTGTCTGTAGATGAGCGGGTAAGTAGGTGGTCAAGTAGATCAGCAGTTACTTAAATCAGTACAATACGGGGAAACGTGATGGTCAGCACCGTTTGTGATATTCCGGTGTTTTGTGAGAATACCGAAGTAACTCTACTTACTGTCATGAATATAGTTAAAAAAACAAAAAAAAGATGTAAATATCACTACCACAGTTACGTACCAGGTTGACGAGATTCGGTGGGATTTTATAAACATCTCTGGCACTCATGGAGTTGTACAAGCCACATTTGATTAGATCGGTAGTTTATTAACGAAAGAGTACTTGTATTCATCAACGCATAAGCGGACATTTGCAAAAAAAAAAAAGAAAAGGAAAAGGACAGAAATGTGAACAAAAAAGAAATGGTATAAATTAACTACGTAAACACAAAAAGATAACTACAAAGAGGGAAAGTCCAGAGCTCTACTCCCCCCTCCTAAACCTCACCACCCTCACGCCTCCCTCCTCCGCTACCCCCGTGCTTACCTTTAGCTCCTCCGCTACCCCCCTTACACTCCACTTATCCCTCCACGCCCCCAGCCCGCCGCTCACCTCATCCCTCTTCACAGCCCCACCCATCACATCCACCTCCGCTCTCACCCCCGCCTCCAACCCCACCAGCATCCCCGCCACCGCACTCCCGCCCATCCACCCGCTCCTCCCCACCCACGTCCCCCTCACCACCGCCATCAGCAGCACCAAGACACCCACCCACACGCCCGCCGGCCACGCAAACCACGCCCACCTTGCCACCATCCAGCTCTCCACCACCAGCGTCACCCCCTCCACGCCCGCCCCCTCGTTCCTCACCGCAGCACTCATGCTCGCCGTCACATTGCCCATCACATCCCCAAGATCCGCCGTCAGCAGGTCAATATACAGCCCGCGGTGCAGCTCCGACACCTCGCCGGGCCCGGGCTCAGCCGTCAACACGGTTGCGTTACCGCTCAGACTCACAGCGAGGCCAGTCCCCATGGCGAACAGCGCCGCAATCGAGACGTTCGTCTTGCCGCTCGCCGAGAGGGGGAGCGCCCGGTTCAGGAGCTCGTCGGTGATCTCGCTGATCTGCGGAACGGGCAGCGAGAACGAGTCGACAGAAGATGCATTGACCAGCGTCTCACTGAACGTCCCGTTCACGACCTGCGCGGAGTACGCCTGCTCGCAGAAGCGGAGCGCGCAGGTGTAGCCCCGCGCCATGTGCGACCCGCCCTCCGCCACATACCCAGGCGCAATCGGGAGGTTCTGAGTCGTCGCGGCCGTCGCGTTATCGGGCTGGATGTACAGCGCCGTCATCACGATCCTGTCGGCGGGGATGGTCACCGTGCTGCCGGACACGGTGGAGTTCCCGCCCTCGGCATTGATGGACAGGAACGTCGTCCCGCCGCCGGCGGAGGTCGCGTTGTAGGTGTATGTGCACAGCTGGCCGCTCGTGAAGCATGTCGCGCCCTGGCAGAGCTTGTTCCTCGCCGTGAGCGCCGTGCAGTTGCGGGTGAGCTGGTCGGTGATTTCTTCGCAGGCGCTGCACACGCCGACGGAGGTTGTGTCCGGGTAGGTGCAGGTGCCCGACGGGCAGGAGTGCGCGGTGGTGACGGGGTCGCCGAGGACCGCGGAGTTGGCGCCCCAGAGGAGGGCGCGCGGCGTGGCGAGGATCAGCCCGCGACTGAAGCCGCGGGTCGGCGTGTAGGACGGGTTGGCGGAGAGGCGGGCGGCGATGTCGGGAGTGGCGGGGACGCTGCGGAGCTCGTAGGTCGTGAGCTGTTGGATGGCGGGGTCGAGGCCGAGGGAGAGGAGAATGAGGGCGGCGCCGAAGTGGACGAGGAGGCTAGAATATATCAATATATCAGTCAGAATTCACCTTGTATCAAATATCTCAATATCAGCCTCTGGAAGTAGCCATACCCCCTCCGGAATTTGAAGATCCACCTCACCGCCCCAAACACATCCCTCCCCGCGCCCCCAATGCTGTCAAAATCGGCCAGCTTCCTCGGCCGCTCCGCAAACAGCACCCACCGCATCTGCCCAATACACTCGGCCAGCGGCCACATCAGGCTCAACTTGGCCACGGCGGCCAGCCACGCCAGCACCGCGTTCAGCGTGATGGCCGTGGACCAGCCCGACACAATGTCTGTATGGAACGTCTGCGCTGGGTTGTTGTCAAAGACCCACACCACGAAGGCCGTCATGCCGAGTGCGAGGGCGCTGACGCCCAGGGCGAAGAGCTGCAGGACCAGGTCGCGCCATGGGAAGCGGCGGGGGAGGGTGGCGTTGGAGTGCGGTGGCTTGGGCGGTTTGGGGGGTGCGAGGGTGTGCGGCGAGGGGGGCGTGTAGACGAGGCCGTTGTAGGCGGGAGGGGCGTCGGCGTCGGCGTCGGTTTTGGCGGGCTGGGGGGGGCTTTTGAAGAAGATGTTGACGGCGAGGTTTTGCAGGGCGCCGGCCATGGTGGAGTAGTGTGGGGGATCAGTGTCTCGCCGGGAGAGTGTATTAATTGTAAGTTATATGACCGTCTCGCGGGGAATATCGAAGCTGTGAAAAACAGAGGATAGTAATGAAGAGAAGACAGCAAAACAGAGAAGCAAAGAGGCAGCGTCGGTATAAGAAGCACCAGGGGGGGCCAGTGACAGGAGCGACACAAATATACCATATGCATCTCGTCTGAACCAGCGACACCTCTCACTTGAATGGAACGCACGGCACCTCTCCTCCTCCCACCCCCCTCGGGCTGTGATCTTCAATGCTAATTAATAGAATGCCCTCACCCAGAGACACCTAAAATTAACCGAGCAAGACACCCAGGTCAGGGGCTGCCGTGAATCCCGATTGGACGCCCAACCGCTGGCGCTATCATCCCTGGACGACGCCCACGAACCATGAACCACTCACCACTCACTGTTTGGACAGTTCTGTCTGTGATTGCGTATTCCCTTCCCTTCGAGAGTATGCACGTCTTCCAGAACACACGTCCACTGGTAGAGGAGAGTCTTGTACTCGTGTATATACCAGATCACCCATTCTATTGTCAGTCTCTGTGTCGCCGTCCTCCCAGCGCACATCCCACACATGCACAGCCAAAACGGGCCCGCAACGTTACAGCGGTCTCTTGCAGACTCTACCCCGTCCGTGTCCCTGCAGCTTAAGCGCCACCATCTGGATATTGGGTGCCGAGACATGGATAGGCAGTCAATACAATTAATATTCACGACAAGCTTTGTGATCTGATCGATGCTCGGGTAGAATATATTGCAGTGGGCCGTATTGCGGTCCACGCTGGTGACGCTATTGGTCGGTGCGCTGCAGCTGGGGTGGTGATTGTTACTATTCAGCCCTTTTCGGGTGAGTAATAATCGCGCCGTGATACTCTGGTGGACCGGCCAATCGAACTGAAACTGTACGCCCAGATCCTGATCCTCAAGGGAAATCAATATTCACAGCTATTCCAGCGACACAAACAACACCCATCTTTCTCGTCAGCACGCGTTTGCTTTGTGCACTGTTTCGTGCGGCGTCGCGTCGCCTAAAATAGAACACGATGCTAAGCTTTCCCTTCCCGTGCATCCATGACGCGTCGCCGAAAAGCTTAGCCGCCGACGCTAGGCGTCACGGATTGTCACTCGGAGGGTTGCCGGGTACCCGGGTAAAGTGGGTGTTGATGTCGTTGTCAATGGTCACGGCGTGGTAAGACGTGTTTTGCAGCAGCGGTGATCGGAGTGTGGAGGTTGATACGTCGTCGCCTTGTGTTTGCGTGGGGTTGCCTAGGAGGTTTATGTTTGTCTTGTAGAAATAGGACTGGGCATGAGAGGCTGTTAGCTACAGGCGCGAAAGGCAACGAACAAAAAAATTTTAAGTCCAAAGACAAGGCCGTACGAGAGGGCTAATGCAATTATAGAAATAATGGACTAGATTCTGTATGCAAGATGCGGATGCGAGCAAAATGATGATACTCGCGACAGGCAAAAGGTGCCGGACAGTGCAAAAGGTACGCGGTCTCAAACTATGGCCAGGTACAGGGGGTTCGATTGGTTGAATTAGATAGATATCAAAATAACCCCAATGAAAACATTTATTTGAATAAACAATATATGCAACTTTTACAAACTACCAGCGGGTATAATCTCCAGTCGCTTCTATGACAGCATTAATTCTTTCCGGGAAGGTATCTATATACTCCAACAGTTCATATTCAGGTATTCTGTCCCAAACTTCCACAATTGCAATCCTAATCTCATTCAAACCTCTAGATTGAGATGGCCTCATGTTGACTCAATTCTTCAATAAATTCCAAATATTTTCTATCGGATTCAGATCAAGTGAACACGTTGGCCAGTCTAAACAAAGCATATTGTAACAATCTCCCTATATTTGTGTCAATCTAGCCCTATGGGCAGATGCATTGTCCTCTATCACTCAAACTATACCTCCTTGTTTAGCCTGAGCCACCACTTGGTTTTCTCATTTACCAAAAAGACCATAAACAGTGTGTAAGTTTCATGGATCGACTAGTGAATACACTGGGTTACGAGGAGTTGGATTAGTCAGAAGGGTTCTATTGGGTTCTATCGGGTTCTGTTGATTGTTAATGTATGAGTTACTTTAGATTTGTCATCGCTGGGATTTCATGGGGTATATTAAGGGGGGTTCGTTCTTATTTCTTGTTCTTTTCCTTTTCTTTCTTTCTCTACGCAACGTTTTCTGTACCTACGCTGTTTATTACTATACAATATTCTCTTTCTCTTCTTTACTCGAGAAGACCACAGCTTCGCTGCCCCTCTGTCTCATTGACCCTTACCGATGCTAGAGTCCCTCAGGACCCCTATTGCGAGTTCCCACACCGACCTCTACTATCCTCTTCATACCCTGCGGAATACTCACTACTCATATTCTTGAGATTACGTTGCGTCGTCATCCGCACCGTACGACATATTTATCCCCGACCCACCTACATGGGCCCCATCCAACGATGTAGAAGAATTCAAGTGGCAGTATGAGGTCGATGCTGCTGACTTATTTAACAACATCGCCGTCCTTGTCCAACGCATCCGCCATGAGAGGGATACCTTCCGTACACAACTCGCCGCCGCTAATGAAACTATTGACAACCTCGAGTAGCAGGGAAACCGGCTCAACCTCAACCTCAATGTCGCTCACGCCGCCCCCACCCCTACCGTCTCTGTCCCCGTCGCCGCTGCTCCTCCACATAATACTGTCCCCACCTTCAGGTCCGAAAAGTTCCCAGGCACTGAAAAATTCGACGGCACTCGTACCAAGCTCTCCGGATTCACCACTCAACTCCGAATGAAACTTGAGGTCAACCATGATCGATTCCGAAACGAGGCAGCAAGAGTCATCCATGCCGTTAGCCGCTTGAAAGGAAGAGCCCTTGACCAGGTCGTTCCACTCATTAATGCTAACCCTGCTGCCCCCTTCTCCTCTGTCACTGCCTTCGTTGCCCACCTGGAAGCCTCGTTTGGAGACCTAGATCCCTGGGGTACCACCCGTCGCCAACTCGTCGCCCTGAAGCAAGGCAAAGGGGACTTCGCCACCTATTACTCACAGTTCCTCCGTATTGTAGCCTACCTAGACTACAACGAAGGAGCCAAGATCGATGCCCTGGCCGAAGGACTGTCGGAAGCTCTGAAAGATACCATGATATACCGGACAGACAGGCCTAACACTGTAGAGGCATACGCGACCATGTTAATGACAATCGACAACCAGGTTCGGGGCAGTAAAGCTGAACAACGGGCCATCCGTAATACGATGGGACAATTTACCGCCCCCACCGCTGTCGCACACCCATCTCATACTGATGGAGGCCTCGCCCCAATTCTCAAGGGGGCGAGTAGCGAGTATTCCGCAGGGTATGAAAGGGGTAGTAGAGGTCGGCATGGGGACTCGCAATAGGGGTCATAAGGGATTATAGCGTCGATAAGGGTCAACAGGGCAAGGAACAGCGAAGCGGTAGTCTTCTCGAATAGAGAGGAGGAAGATAATATTGTATAGTAATAGACAGCGTAGGTACAGAAGACGTTGCGTAAGGAAAGAAAGAAAGAGAAAAGAACGAGAAATAAGAACGAACCCCCCTAATATACCCAAGGAAACCCCAACGATGTGAAATCCCAAATGACTCATACATTAACGATCAACAGAACCCGGTAGAACTCAATAGAACCTTTCTAACTAATCCAACTCCTCGTAACCCAGTACATTCCCTAATCGATCCATGAAACCAATGGACCTCTCCATCCTCCAAGCCCATTCCGCTCAACGCCCTGCCACCGAACAACGATACACCTCTGTCAATGGACAACGTAAAACCTCTGCCGCCGAAAAACAATAGCGAAGGGACAACAATCTCTGTATGTACTAAGCCAACCTCGGCAATGTCTTCGCCAACTGCCCCTCTGCCAATTACCCGTGTGGTAATCAACCGGTTATGAGGGGGGCCCACCTCGTACCCGCTCACAATGCCCCCGACCCCGCTGCCCCACTGATCGCTAGTCCTGCCTCCTCCGAGTCAGGTTTTCAGTAGTCCTGGGCTTGATCAATGGCCCCTGCCCAGAACCTTCTAATGTTTCTCCTTCATCTGCCTTCTCTATCTCTGGCTTCTCGGGATCGTCTGTGGAGGATAAATTGGATTGAGATCATTTTGTTGCTTCGTGTAAAATTGTAAACAATAAAATATCCATTCAAACCTACGCATTGATTGATACCGGTTGCTCCGGGTTCGCATTCATTGATGAAACATTTGCACGCCATAACAACCTTCCATTTCTCTCCCTTAAATCACCCCGCACTCTTGGTCATCGACGGACGGCCCATATCCTACAGACAGATTACCCACCTCTGCTACCTACCGCTATCAATTGACTCCCACCATGAAACTATCCCCTTTTTCGTCACCAAACTCGGCTCATATCCACTAGTACTCGGAATCCCTTGGCTTCAATTACACGACGCCACATTACGGTTTAAAGGCAATAGCATACTCTTCGACTCCGAATACTGCAAACGCAAGTGCAACTCCTCCACAATACCCGTTCCCATTAGAGAGATTGCACCACCACCCCGTTTCCACCTCGTGAGTTCCGCTGCTCTCTGCCACTTCGCTCGAAGGGACAAGCTCCAAATCCTCAGCACAACTATCGAGGAAATAGACAAAGCCATGGACGAGCCCCCTAAGGAAGACTGGAGGAACCGAGTCCCAACCCGGTACAAGAGGTTTCACGAGATAATGGACGAGAAGTTCGCTAACAAAATGCCGTCTCGCCGCCCCTATGACCACAAGATACTGCTTAAGGAAGGAAAAGAGCCCCCGTTTGGGACACTTTATGGTATGTCCCGTGAGTAGCTCATCGTGTTTAAGCAATACATACAGGACAAGCTCCAAAGAAGCTTCATTCAGGCCAGCTCTTCACCTGCCGGTGCCCCTGTTCTATTTGTTAAAAAGGCCGATGGAACACTTCGCCTCTGTGTCGATTATCGTGGCCTCAACGAACTCATTGTCAAAAACCGCTACCCACTGCCGCTCATCCGGGAAACTCTCGACCGCCTCTCCAAAGCCAAGTGGTACACCAAACTTGACCTTCACCAAGGGTATAATCAGATCCGAATGGCTGAGGATGAAGAATGGAAAACAGCCTTCTGTACGCGTTACGGACATTTCAAATATAGGGTGATGCCCTTCGGCCTTACCGATACACTGGCCACCTCCCAACACTTCATTAATGATTGTATCCGTGACTACTTTAATATGTTCTGTACAGCCTACCTTGACGATATTTTCATCTACAGTGACACATTCGAGGAACATCAACTACACGTCAAAAAGGTCCTGGAAGCCCTACAAAGAAATGGAATACTGCTGAAACCAGAGAAATGTGAATTTCATACACAAAGCACCACCTACCTCGGCCTTATTATCGAACCCAACGGTATTAAAATGGACCCGAGGAAAGTAGAGACAGGGAAGAATTGGACCGTCCTCAAAACAGTTAAGGATGTGCAAGCATTTCTAGGTTTCGCTAACTTTTACCGCCGATTCATACACGGATTTTAGGAACTGGCTTCCCCCCTTACCAGACTGACACGTAAGGACATATCATTTGAATGGACACCCGAAGCCCAAACTGCCTTCAACGCCCTGAAAGAGGCCTTTACAATGGCTCCCATCCTTACCTATTTCGACTCGGAGAAAGAAATTACTGTGGAAACCGACGCATCTGACTATGTCTCTACCGGTGTACTCTCCCAATACGATGATAATGGTATCCTTCTTTCCGTCGCAGACTTCTCAAAAAAGCACTCCCCCGCCGAATGCAACTAAGAGATTTACGACAAGGAATTACTGGCGATTATTCGATCCTTTGAAGAATGGCGACCGGAACTTGAAGGGGCTGCACACCCAATTGCCGTCATATCCAATTATAAGAACCTCGAATACTTTATGAGTACTAAACAACTCAACAGAAGACAAGCACGATGGGCAGAATGCCTATCACAATTCAATTTTGTCATCAAGTATCAATCAGGGAAACAAGGGAGGAAATCGGACGCATTGACAAGGAGATCTGCTGATCTCCTTGGAGAAGGGGATGAAAGGCAATTACATCTGAGTCAAGTTGTATTGAAGAAGGAGAATCTTGAAGCCAAGCTAAGTTTGTTGGCGGGTTCTTTCTCAAATGAGCCCGCTGAAAAGAACGCCTGGCTGAATAGACTATTCGATGAAGGATATAGCACTAACCCGTTTCCACAAAAGATACTGGATATGCGGAACAAAGGTGAACGACAATCAAAGGACATATCACTCGCCGAATGCACCGAAGTTGAAAGCCGGTTGCTTTACAGAGGCAGCATATATGTACCCGACTACGACCCTCTCAAGCTCCGAATCCTCCAACTTTACCATGACGCTGCCTCCGCCGGATACCCTGGATGTGAAAAAACATTCAAACTTATCAGGCGAGACTACTACTGGCCCCTTATGCGGAATTATATTGCCCGCTACGTTTGGAACTGCCACACCTGTCAACGAAGCAAACCCAACACCCATGGAAAACTCGGCGTACTTCGATCTTTACCGATTCCCCAACAACTATGGCAGGAGATATCAATAGACTTCTTCACTGGCCTACCGGAGAGTGAAGGGTACGATGCGATTATGGTAGTTGTTGACCGGTTAACAAAGATACGAAATCTCCTGCCCTGTAATACCACCGTCAACTTCGAAGACGTCACCTGACTATATCTGCGAAATATATGGAAGCTCCATGGGCTACCCACACATGTCACCTCCGACCACGGTACGCAATTCACAGATAAGTCCTGGAGGGCTCTCTGTAAATACCTCGACATCGAAGCCAGAATGTCCACTGACTTCCACCCAGAAACTGACGGCCAAACTGAGAGGCTGAATGCCGTAATGGAACAATATCTACGTGGGTATGTCTCTTATCAACAGGATGATTGGATAAAATGGCTCCCTATGGCAGAAATATCCGCCAACAATCAGGCCTCCACATCCACCAAAGCTACACTATTCTTCGCGAACTATGGTTTCCACCCTCGGTTTACAGTGACGATCAAATCGCTTGACAGGACCCCACCAAGCCTCAATGCTAAAGACTTCACCTCGAAGATGAAAGAACTCCACGAACACCTACGTTCCAATATCCGCAGGGCGCAAGACCAACAAGAGCAGGCCGTTAATACCAAACGAACGCCGGCTCCGGGGTACAATATCGGCAATATGGTGTTTCTTTCAGCAAAAAACATCCGAACCACCCGTAACTCTCGGAAGTTGGACTGGAAGAAACTGGGACCATTCCCCGTCAAAGAAATCATATCGCCATATGCGTACCGAATCGACCTATCTAGAAGTATGAAAGTGCACCCCGTCTTCCATTTTCATGGATCGACTAGTGAATATACTGGAATACGAGGAGTTGGATTAGTCAGAAAGATTCTATTTGGTTCTATCGGGTTCTGTGGGTCGTAAGCGTGTGAGTCACTTTGGATTTTTCATCGCTAGGATTTCCTTGGGTATATTAAGGAGGTTTTGCTTTCGTTTCTTGTTCTTCTTCTTTTCTTTCTTTTACTACGCAACGTCTTCTGTATCTACGCTGTCTATTACTATACAATACTATCTTCCTCTTCTTTACTCGAGAAGACCACCGCTTCACTGCCCCTTGTTCCGTTGACCCTTACAGACGCTATAGTCCCTTAGGATCCCTATTGCGAGTTCCTACACCGACCTCTGCTATCCCCTTCGTACCCTGCGGAATACTCGCTACTCGCCTCCTTGAAATAAGACTGCATATTTCTTTTATTTTCCAGTACTGTCTCCCTGCTATGAGTACCGAATTTGCGTTTGAAGAACTAGCTCTATTTAAGTACACTTTGTGGTTTGAATACCAAATTTTTGTAGAACTGGTTGTAGATATCGAGTCTATCTTCAAACGTAATATTAATATTATATTCCCCATTAATGATTTCTTCTAACTTGATTAATATTCCTCTGATTAACATAGGTTTTATTTCACTGTTTAGCTAATAGAAAGATATATGAATGATAAGTTATAAATTCTACTTTTTAGAATGATTTAAACATATCCATTACAGGGGGTGGAGAGTCAATATCAGGATTAAATAAAGATTTACATAAGTGGAGCGGATTGAGGCAACTAAGGAGCATAACTGTTATTGTGAGATATGAGGTTGAGCGTGAGGACAATTATTGAGGCGATAACAAGAGCACGATTTCTCTTGATATAATATACTGAGTCATACTGGTTTGTATTCAGGACCAGCAAAAGAAAAGTTACAAGCAGAAATTAGATTCAAAATACCGGTAAGAATTGAGTAATAACAAAGAACTCAAGCTGAAACAAGGGTTGAGAATAAGAGAAACAAGTGAATAGGTAGGAAAGAGAAAGAGAAGAAGTACGAGTACATGTATCGTTGTAAATATTCATTTATACTTCTATTCTATCGGCACTATAGTTCATTAACCTCTATTGACAATTGTGGTTGTATCTGAAACTATTATAGAGTCAACCATTAGCTCAATCGAGGTTGATCATCTACTATGTACTAGAATAATGATTTTCCGAGGTTTTTGCAGTCTGATTGGTCGAGAGTGACAGGGTATTTAGTAAGCACGACGCATCAAATTCAGTGCAGTTACCCTGCCTGATTTGGTGCAGTTACCCTGCCTGATTTGGTGCAGTTATCCTGCTTCGCTTGAGCGCGCTCTGAATTTGAGGTGTTGCGCCCATTGCTTGCACGGTGCGAGTGCTGTATGCCCGGTTGCGGAGTTGCGGAAACTCACCAAAAAAAGTACGTTTTCGATCCCGAAAATAACCCCAGGTACGTCAAACCGCCGGAGCCCTCCTATTTTGCACCGGTGGGTCTATGAGAGCTGGATGACAACAAAAAAAAAATCTACTGAATGATAGACCATCCTCTCAAGCTAAAAAAATATATTTGATTAAATATTCTGCTCTCTGACAAAAAACACAAATTTTTGTAACAGTTCTACTGTTACTTTTGGTTGATTATATTCGCATATTGTTCTCACCCAACTCTATCCGTATCAGCCATAATCGATAATTTGTATATCCCAATCCCGACTCTTGGTTCCGGTTCAAATCTGATTATTATTTGATATAGATCATACAAAATCCTCTACAATATTACGCATACACATACACACCCACAGATACAATAAGAATTTGTTCAAAATCATGTTTACAATTAAATGCACAAGTTGCAAACGGGGAAAACTGAGGGCTGAATATGATCTTGATAGACATGGCCGGCCCCGTAAATCTTGCCAAGCATGCGTGGTAGGTATTGAAATCCTTGATCGATTTGTCCCCCTCACTAAAGCTTTTCTGTCTTATAGTTACAATCACGGGCACGAGAACGACGGAGAGCAGAAGTCAGACGAATTCAAAATGCAGATAATGAAGAGGTAAGTCCAAGTCATTGACTCTGTTTAATAAATATTTTTTTGTCCCAGTTCGAAAGATACTTTAATAGCCGATGAATCGTCTGGAGCGTATCATAAAGCCTTTAGCATTTCAATCTTCGCATTCCCGTTGGAGGGAGTTAGAGGTCAGAAGAATGACAGTGGTTTGTCTTTCATGCGATGCTTTGCATTGGATCAACAAGCGTGTAAATGGCAATTCAATTGGGTCACCACGATTCGAAAACTGTTGTAAGAAAGGTGACGTTGAGTTGCCGGCCTTAGAACAAGTCCCCGACTATCTCAAATATTTACTCGAATCAACCGATACTGTAGGCAAGCAGTTCCGCACTCGGATAAGGGAGTACAATTCAGCGTTAACCTTCACTTCTGTTAAATACAACTCTGATGAACGCATTTCTGTACAAGGTGGGGGTGTTACATGCTTTCAAATCCATGGTGAGCTGTATCATCTTCAAGGGCCGTTGACTGCGGAAGCAAACGATGCTCCCACTTTTGCTCAATTGTATTTCTATGACCCATTCTATGCAGCCCAGCTGAGACAACAAAGGCATCCCAACCTAGATCTTGCTGTCTTACAATGGTTGACAAATGAACTAAATACTGTCAATCCTTTCATTCCTTTATACAAGACTCCAAAGGAACGGTTGGACGATGCATCTCCGGAAAATGGTGATGTACGCGTACTACTCAACCCTCAGCTATGGTTGATAATGGAGAGTGGGGCGGATAAATGTCGACACAATTTGCCTACCAGCAATGAAGTTGCTGCGATTATCCCAGACGAATACGGTGAAGCAGGATTCAGGGATATTGTTCTGGCTCACAGGAATCCAGATGCCAACAGGCTGTTTAGTGTCATTGATCCTAACCATGCCGCGTATATGCCATTGCATTATGTTCTACTATTCCCTATCGGAGAACGTGGTTGGCACTGGGGGTTGCGATTGCGAGATGAGCTGAACAGAAGGAAGAATTTGAGGTTGCAACAGCGTGAGTTTTATCGGTATGTTACAATACCCTTTGGCAGAAATACTTGTTGATATGGCTGACGTTTTGATTACCAATGCCATATAGGTATCGAATACATACAAGGACCACTGAACCCATGACTTTGTTCCTATCGCAACGCCTATTTCAGCAGTATTTGGTTGATGCTTGGGCTGTATGTGATCAGAATAAATTGAATTGGCTTCGATTGAATCAGGCAAATATTCGGGCTGATCTGTATAAGAGACTGGCGGATAATATACGGCAAGAGGACTTCAACCCGGAGCAAACCGGGAAACGTATCATCCTACCACGAAGCTATACAGGTGGAGACCGGTACATGCTGCAGTTGTTCCAGGATTCTATGGCTATAGTTCGTCATTTGGGGCGTCCCTCACTATTTGTTACTTTTACAGCGAATACGAAGTGGGAAGAGATTACTGTGGAGTTACTACCGGGACAAACTGTGGTTGATAGGCCAGAATTGGTTGCGAGGGTATTTCATCTTAAGCAACAACAACTCCTCCAAGAAATAAAGCGTAAACATATCTTCGGTCGCTATCTTGGCTCTATCTGGACCATAGAATACCAGAAGAGAGGGCTGCCACATATGCATCTACTGGTCTTTCTTCATCCCGATGATCGTTTTCTGACCGGGGAGAAAATGGATGAGATTGTGTGTGCAGAGTTGCCAGACCCTGCAACTGATCCTACTGGGGAGCTTACTGAAATCATCAAAAGCTGCATGGTGCACGGTCCATGTAGAGAGGCAATATACGATCATGCTGCATGGCTTCTAGGGAAAATGGCGGTCTGACAACATGTTCCAAACAGTACCCTAATGCCTATCAAGCTGAGACAGTTGTACAGGAGGATGGGTACTATCCCCTGTACAGAAGGCGTAATGATGGTAGGACATGGACAGTAACACTGAGGGGATCGGGGTTACATAATCAGTACACAATGGATAATAGATGGGTGGTACCATATGATCCATATTTGTCTAAACCCTATAAAGCCCATATTAATGTAGAAGTCTGTGGTTCAATCCATGCAATAAAGTATATACACAAGTATATATATAAGGGCTCAGATCGAACAATACTCCAGGTAGGGGGTGATTCAGATGAAATTAAACGATACCTCCAAGGACGTTACATAGGACCTACTGAGGTTGTATAGCGTTTGTTCGAATACGGAATACATGAAGAGTACCCATCAGTTATTCACTTGGCTGTTCACTTACCGGGGGAGCAAACGGTTTATTATAGTAATGAAGCTGACCGGGAAGAGTTGATACAGAGAATGCAAAGTGCGAGAACGATATTGATGGCGTATTTTGAGTATAATACAGAGCACGAGGTTGGTGTACAGTATCTCTATCAAGATTTCCCTGTGCACTTTACCTTTGACGCTAGATCGCGGAAGTAGGCACTCACGAAACAGGGTGTCGCAATTGGACGTATATGGCATTGCAACCCTATGATGGGGGAGAAATATTTCATGCGTTTGCTACTAACTGTTATCCCTGGCGCAAGATCTTTTGAGCATCTTAGAACCGTAGAAGGCATACTGCATCCTACATTCAAAGCTACATGTATTGCCCTTGGTTTGCTTGAGGATGATCAGGAGTGGGTGCAATGCTTTACCGAAGCGAGCCTATTCTCAAGTGGATATTCCCTCCGTACACTCTTTGCTACTGCCTTACTCTTCGGTAACGTGACTGACCCTTTGGCATTATGAGATAAATTCAAAACAAACATCTGTGATGGCTTGCCCCGTGCTTTGGAGAGGAACGCAGGGCTGATTGTACCCCCCGAATTGCCTGATGCATATCTGGACTATAGACTTTACCTGATATCACAAATTCTTGCTGACACCAATAGAACTCTATCTGACTTTGGGTTGCCCCTACATACGGTGGATTGGAATCGAATGGGTGAGAACGAGATGGTTGCATCAGAACTTCGATATGACATGGACGCGGAAGCCACAATGCTACAGTTGAGAGTTCCCCAGCTCAATCCTGATCAGCTTCAGTGCTTCAACACTATCACACACAATACTGAGGAACCTGCACCAGCTCTATTCTTTATACAAGGACCTACGGGTACTGGAAAAACATTTCTCTATAATGTTATCTGCAACTATTTCCCGCCCAGGGTAAGATTGTTCTCTGTATTGCTTCATCGGGTATCGCAGCACAGTTGCTCCCTGGAGGCAGGATATCGCATTCAAGGTTTAAAATTCCTATTGCAATCCATGAGACCTCAACCTGTGACATAAAACGGGGCAGTCTCTTGGCCGGTTTAATAGCAAAAACTGCTCTGATCATTTGGGATGAGGTACCTATGCAGAATAAGTACTGCTTTGAGGCTGTTAATCGCACTCTGAATGACATTTGTGGTGTTAGTGATGATTCCCTGTTTGGCAATATTCCAATCGTACTCGAGGGGGATTTTGCACAAATCTTACCGGTCGTGCAGTGCGGTAATCGGGCTCAGATAGTGCAGGCCTGCCTCCAACGGTCGTTTTTATGGCAGTACTTCAAAATCCTAAGGTTCAAGATAAATATGCGGGTCCGTAATAGTGTACTTAATAGGGAGTTTGCGGCTTGTCTTGGTGGGATGATGCACAATGCTCAGTAGTATGGTAGAATCACTTTACCGCCATTCATCCAGAGCTGTAGAACACTGGAGGACCTTTATGCGCATGTATTTCCACGGCACATAATAGAATCGGCACCTATAAATTACGCTGCATTTTCAAACCATGCAATTCTGGCGATGAGAAATGATACGGTCGCTGAGTTCAATGATAGAGTTCTACAAGAAATTCAAGGTGAAATGCACACCTGCTATTCAGCTGATACAGTTGACAGCGGAAATTCAGACGAGAACACGAACTTGCTACCTCCAGAATACCTGCAGAGTCTAAATCCTTCTGGACTCCCACTGTCTATTCTCAAACTAAAGGTGGGGGCACCAATCATTCTACTCTATAATCTATATCCAAAGCAGGGTCTCTGTAATGGAACCCGTATGACGGTGACAAGACTTGGTAGACGGTGCATCGAAGCTAAGATTCTGGATGGTGAGTTTGATGGCGAGCCAAAGGTTATTCCACGCATCCAGCTATCCTCCGCTGAGGGTGACCTACCTTTCATCATAATAAGAAGGCAGTTACCCATTCGACTTTGCTTTGCGGTGACCGTTAATAAATCGCAAGGTCAATCGTTAGATGTCGTTCGGGTTGACTTGCGGTCTGATTATAACGTGGGTCTATGGACGAGAGACTATAGTGTCAAGGAATACAACCGAGGCGAGAATGTAGTAGAAGATGTTTGTGACTATGGACTATGGGGTGGTTCAATCCTGATCGGAGATCCAAGATGAGCCCTATGACGTAGCGTAGAACAGAAGTAATATTCGTGGAGTAGAACAGAAGTAATATTCGTGGAGTAGAATACAGAGAGAGAGAGAGAATGTTATATTGCATAGAAGCCGAAGCTTATCGCACACCTAACTACCCGACTACAACCTCCACCGACTAACCCGAAAGCAAAAACGAAGTGCAAAAACTAACTACCGCAGCTACGAGAACTACGTACATAAAAAGGAGAAACAGCGCACGAAGAGGGCGCGAATAACAAGTGGTACAGGTAAGCAGAATCTAAGCGACAACAAAGAAACCACCCCGTAGTAAGAGTGAACCCCAAACTTCTCCGTCAACTACATTAGCGAGCGCAATCCTATACATGGTGTTCAACCGAAACGGTATCATTACCAACGTTCCCGGTGTCATATCTGTGGACGAACCTTAACAGGACTGGGAAACCATGCGCACGAAGGCAGGAAAGGCCAACCGCAACAGCGCCAGGTGTGAAAGTGACGGGGGGTGGATCGAGTATGGGTCCTCGGGCATCTGGTTGTCAGGCAGCGAGGAATTAAGGAGTGGTGACCGATAGGTCAGGTAAGAATAGGTGGGGTCGTCGGTCCCTGGAGCAACGGCTAAAGACTGTGCCCGAGTCGTAGTTGAAGTGGTGTCCTCTGGAGGGGACATGCAAAAAGGGGGGGTGAGCCGGAGGCTCAGTATGTATGGGGGTCGCAATCGAAAGTGCCGACCGTATTGTGTTGAGGGGTGATCTCGGAGACCGGTTGGGTTGGGGTGAGGGGAGCGGGCCACCTCGGTTAAGAATGGGTTGCCTGGTTAAGGCCGATAGGGAGGGGTAAGGTCACGGGACCTCGGGTAAAAAATTTGACGATAGTTTCGCGACCAACAGGTCGCTAACTTCGCGGGCTGTCGAGCGCTTTGGCAGTAGGTTCTCGCTGACTAGAGATTACTGACAGTGTACGTACCCGACGTGTGGGATCACTCGTGCGATGAGTGAAAGTAAGGAGGGGCGAAGGCGGCTTTCAAGAGTAGCCACTGGTTTGGCGAGGGGTGAACGGTGGACGCGTCCCGTGAGGGCACCGAACGTACAAAGAAGGGGGGTGTCGAGCGAGGGAAGTTCAGGGTCCGAAGCAATTCGAGAATCAGAATAACTCCATCTCGGGGGGAAAGAAATCCTATCGCGAGCCAGAAGCGAGCGAGTAGAATACAGAAGAAGAAGAAGAAACTTATATTGCTTTGAAGTACAAGACTTATCGCACGCCGAACCAACCGCCTAAAACATAAACCGAACAAAAGAGAAAGGAAAAGAAAAGAAAATCAACAAACGCGAACAAACAGGAACAAAAAGCGAACACGAACGGACACAAATAATAGCAAGGAAATTCCGCAACGACACTCAACCAGAACAACCCAACGACAAGGAGAAATAACATATCTCAGCGAACTCGGGCGCTGGATCCATCAAAACAAAAAATAAAACCGAAATTAAAAGGTAAAAGGAAACTGCCCTTCCTAATCCCGTCCCTAATCATTTTCTTCCATCCCCTCTTCCAGGTCCGCCTCCGCCTCCGCCGACTCGTACCATTTCGAGAGTTGAGAATTTTTTGCAAATTGTAGGATGAGGTCCGTTCTCAAGTTTGTAAACATCCAGTTTTCCCAGGTCATCGCTCCGGGGATCTTCTCTATCAGAGGGGCGCGGATTCGAGCCCACGCTGGGCATTCCATAAGTATATGTTTCGCTGAGTTTTCCATACCACACTGGCATGGTTCAGGATCTGTATGTACTGCGTGTTTGTCGATTCGGGTGTTTGGCACCGGATTCGAAAAACTTTTTTTGCTTCCGTAAGAGTGAGTTTCGCAATCTTAGGGGGGGGGGGCGGAATTCCCCCCGGTGGTGGTAGTTCGGTATTGGTTGCGTATTCCATTCTTCCAACAGGTGGTAGTGTAGTAGTTTATTTTGGTTCCACTTGTCTCTCGCATTTCCGGGGGTTTGACATGGAAGTAGGAGGGAGGCGATTCGGTGTAGGCCTGTCCCTTTGATATTTGCTTCTCTGTATGGGAGGAGCTCGATCAGGGATTCATTGTTGGGGTGGGTTGCATCGGTGCAGAGTATTTTAGTTCCATACTTTCTTGAGCGATATGTCAGGAGGTGTTCAAGGGGGGGTAGTCCTGCTTCTCGGAGGAGTTTAGCTCTCTTGGTCCATCGAGGTAGGCCTGTGATGACCTGGGCAGCTTCATTGTATAGTGGTTCGAGGGATCTAATGATGTGGTCTGCGCCAGTCCACCAAGCCTTGGATCCGTAGAGCAGACTTGGAAGGAAGCCTTGTGTTACTAGGTGATGGATTGTCTTAACTGTTATGCCTGGCAGGCGGGCAGTGTTTCGGATCTGGTGGAGGGCTTTCAGGCCTTTTGCGATCGCTGCTTCGATATGGGGCCGGAAGGAGAGGGTCGGATCTATCCAGACTCCTACGTATTTCAGCCTTTCTTTGGGGTATATAGCGGTGTTATCGATTTTGACCGGAAGTCGTGGTTGTTGTATAGATGATGTAGTGGGCCGGAAGAAAATCAGGTCGGATTTATCCGGGTCGTATTTGATTTGGAGTGGGGCGGCTTTTATTAGACTTTCTCTCATTCGTTCCTCCATTCTTTTGATTATGAAGCCTGGTGTTTTTGATATTTGCACCAGCGCATCATCATCGATGTATGTTGTGTCCATCTCTTTCGGGTTGTTTGTTGGGTCCAGGATTACTCCGGCATAGATCATAAATAGTACCGGGGACATGGGGCTACCTGTAACGGCAGCCATATGTTTCGGTTATGCGAAGTGTCGGAGTATGTAAAGGAAGGATTGTGCAGGGTGTGTGGGAATTGTTAAGCGAAGTTTCTATTATGATTCTTTCTGTTTCTGTTACGCGAGAAGATGAGTCATCGTGGGTTGAGGTTTGGATATATAAAGGGGCGTTGCTTTGGCTTTCTTCTGTTTTCTTTTCTTTCCTTTCTTCTTTACGCAACCTCTGTATTTATTCTACGAATACTATTCTTTGTCTGTACTACGTCATAGGGCTCCAACCGGTTTATCATACCAGGTAGAGCCACCCCATAGTCCATAGTTAAAGCATACCTTTACGTCTACGTCCATGTCTACGTCACTACCGAGGTTGTATTCCTTGGCACCACAGCCTATCGCCTATAGTCCCCGTGATACTACCTTGCGGGACTCCGGATTCATAGGGCCATGGTTCTTCTAGTTCATGGTTAAATTGGAACTGTAGTTTCCTGCCGGTGTTGAATTCCTTGCACCATTCCGTAAGGTAGGTGGGGAATTTTTGCTGGTGAATGATTTCTGCGAGGAGTAGGTGGTCGACACAGTTGAATGCTCCCTGAATATCGTTGGTTAAGATCGCTGGTCTGTCTCTCCGGGCGACGCCGGTGCTGTTCTTCAGGAGTAGGTTTTGTTGTACTGGTGTTAGGGTTCTTAAAAGGGCGTCGATTGCTGAGATGGTTGGTCTTCCTCCAAATTGATTTGCTGTGAGTGTGCCTAGGATTTCTCCAGCGGTGCAGAGTCTTTGAGCCACTATTTTCTCCAGGATCTTGCTGAAGCATTGTAGAAGGGAGATGGGCCGGTAGGCTTTTGCTTCATGATAGTTTGCCTTGCCGGGTTTCGGGATCGGGATGCACTTTGCAACTTTCCATTCCGCTGGATGTACTCCGTGCCGAAGCATAGCGGAGAACATGTCTTGGATTAGAGTTGTGTTCGCTTTGACTATTGCTCTGATAAAGGTATAGGGGATGCCATCCGGGCCGGTCGCCAAGTGCATTGGGCAGGAGTCGATTGCTTTCTTAAGTTCTTCGGGAGTGACTATGTCGAAAGTGTTGCTTAGGTCAAAAGAGGGGGGTCTGATGTTTAGGGGGGGATGGTCAGGGGACGTCCGTTTTGAGTGGAAGAGTTGGGCTCTTAGGGCTTGACACTTCCCTGCAAACGTTTCTTCACCTTGTATGGTTGGTATGATTGTGTCTCTTCTCCTTCCTGCATTTAGGATCCTCCAGACCTCACTACCCTTCGCTTCATTCAACGTCTTTTCCCGCTGGTCCGCTTTTGCCTTCCGGATCATGACTGTCCATTCTCTGCATACCTTCCGGTGCTCCTCCACGTGGTTGGGTTTCCTCGTATTTCTCGCCTTCCTCTCTGCCGAGTTTACCCTTGCCTTCATCTGTTTCATTTCATCCGACCACCAGGAGTTGGCTCTTACCCCCTCCTTCGAGAGTGGCGTTACAATATTGATTGTTGACTTGACCAGTTCTAGGAAGAATTCGACCGTTTGTTCCGTGTGTTCCTTGGTTTCCCATGCTTCTGCAGGGAGGGAAAGATTTGATATGTGGTTGTCCAATAGCTTCCAGTCTGTTTGTTGCCACATTCGTCTTGGTACAAAGGGTGGTTTTTCCAAGTGTAGATGGACAGAGGTTCTCCCATGGTCTGAGCCCGCTCCATAGGGTTCAGTGCTCCATCGTAGGTTGTGGTCAAGTGTTGGGCCTTTTACAAATGCAAGGTCGATGATTGTGGGCCTTTTCCCTCTGTCTCTAGGGAAGTGCGTGTAGACTCCTGGTTCATTCAGGAGGCTCAGTTTCTGTCGGGTTATCCATTGCTTTAGCCGAGCGCCGTTGACACGGTCTGCTCGAATGTTGTTCCTATATTCATGTGAGGTTACTCTGTACCACATTTGATGGTGGCAGTTGAAATCTCCCATTACTAGGCAATTGTCGAGGGTTTGGATTGTTTTTGCTATTTGGGCCGAAGGGGCCACTTCGACCTGGGGAGTATATGTTTAGGATTTGGGTTTTCTTGTTCTGGATTTCCACCGTAATCGATACTATGAAATTATCGTGTGTGTAGTGGTGTTTTGGTTTAAGGTTGGCGTGTTTACGGACGTATATTGCACATTTTGTATTGGTGTTGCTGGCTGTAAAAAGATAAAAGAGATTTGATTCTGGTGGATATCCCTCTGTTGAGGTCCATGGTTCTTGTAATAGTAGGAAATAAATGCTCGAGTCTGTTTCCACTTCTTCCACCGCCACCTTGGTGATTAGTTCGCTCCGTGCACAGTTAAGTTGGTGTGCGAGCGCGGTTGTTCGAGGCCTAGGCATTATTCGTCATGTGTTGGTCATCTTCGGGAACGGGTGTGGCTCCGACCGGGGCGGTGGCTGGTCCTTGGACTATTGGGAGTAACTCTTGGGCGGGTGCGGCAGGTGGGTCTTGGGCGGGTGTGGCGTTTTCCTTTCCTTTGTTGAGGAATCGGCGTTTGACTTTTTCGGGGCATGCTGGGTCGGAGGCCTTATGAGCTCCTTTGCAGTTCAGACATCTGATTGGGGTGTGGGTGCATTTATATCCTCCCTGGTATTCATTGCATGGGTGGAAGCTGGTGAGGTGATCTCCGGCGCAATGGCCGCATTTCCCACTGTTCTTGCATTTCTCCTGACGGTGGCCGTATTCAAGGCACTTCGCACACTGGGTGTCTGGAAAGGTCGGGAGGAACGCCTCGAGGTGGCAGTTTCGGTTGAAGAGGGATAGGAATTTGACTCCTAGTGTTTCCATTGTGATTTGTCCTGGGAGCGCGATGACCATTGAGGAGTGGGTTTTCTCCATTCGAGTCTCTGCTCTGGAGATCCAGCGG